CATAGGCGGAGATTGGGGGGTGCTTGGGGGGACAAAGCCCCCCCAAAATTATCAAACATTTTTCATGGTATATAATATTAAAATAGGTACTTATTTTACAACGATTGACAAAATCTTGGAACTTCACAAAATATTTTTTTTTCCCGAAATGTTGTCAAAATAAATGTCAATATAATAATTATTATTATACCATATTATACCTCGTAATCGTCATCGGTGCGCACCGGCTGACCGTCGCGACGGATTGTTATCGCATTTATCGCAATGACAAAAATAGAAATTTCCAATAATCACAGTCTGATAAACATTATTAATGTGCCGAATGCCGATTGCTGTTTCGACCGTTTCGTTTGGGGCCAGCGTTATGTCTGGGCGATTTAATGGTATCCAAGCAAAGATTAAAGAAAAACATCCGTATGCAATTTTTACACACTGCATGGCACACAAAGTTAATTTAGTAGTTCTAGATATGTGTAAAATAGTAAAGGTATGAATTAATTATTTTAAATTGCCTATTTATATTTTTTTTTTTAAATAAATTTGTTTTGTTTTAAAATAAAAACCAATTTAATAATATTTCAAATGTTAAATTACAGGAAACCAGAAACGTTTTTAACACATTAGAGGCCCTTCATATTCACTTTTCATATCCGACTAATAATAAAAAATTAATCGATATTCAAAATAAGTTGGGTGTTAAAAAAAAGTCAATTACAAGGTTAAGCAACACACGGTGGAATTGCCGTTATAGAAATTGTGAAGCTGTAATGTCCAGTTTTAAAGCAATAGTAGATACATTAATAAATGAGATTGAAAATGAATCTGATAAAGATGTAAATGAAGCAATAGGTAAATATTTTGATTATTGTATTTAATGTTTTAATATATAGATTATTGATACATTTAGTTAATTTGAAGTTAATGTGTACCTCTTCATTATTATTTTTCAGGAATTTTAACCAATATGAGGAAAGGACAATTTGTTGTATATTTGTTTCTTTTACATAAATTTTTAACAATAATTAATATTTTAACATGCAAATTGCAAGAAAAATCTTCAACTCTTGGAAACTCAGCAATTATTATTAAATCTATAATCAAAACCATAGAGGATTATAAAACCAGTGAATGTTTTGCTGAAATTTGGTCGGATATAAATAAATTTGCAACAGTCAATAATATATCTATTGAAAATCCATTCCGAGGTATACTTTAATTAATTGATTACTTAACTATGTTTTTAATAAAAATTATTATTGTATTAATTATATTTTAATTTAAAATTTAGGAAATAAAAGAAATAGGAAAGAACCAAATGATCTTAAAAATTTCATTGTCACTGCTAGCACTAGTGCACAGTACACAGAACCTACACAAAGCAATGTACAGACAACTGAAGATTTCTACAGAATAAATGCGTACTATGTGATTCTTGACACACTAGTTACAAAGTTAAAAGAAAGATTTTCGAATGATAGTTTACAAATGGGCATATCTGTTGATAATTTTTTTCAACTAAAATTTGAAGAAAGTCAATTTTTTATTGATCATTATCAAGTAAATCTTCAGTTTTTAGTTTTATTATAAAAGTAATTAGTACATTTTAACTGTTTTCAGGGATTATTGGATTTATCGAAATTCAATATTCAGTCAGAGATGACCGTAGCAAAAAACATCATCTTGCAATCAGGAAATGAAATAAATTATAATACAATAAAACAAAATATTTCTAAAAGTGTGTTTCCCAACTTATACAAGCTTCTACAGGTAGCCATAACTATACCAATCAGCTCGGCTACATGTGAGCGAAGCTTTTCTGCAATGCGCAAAGTCAAGACATGGCTACGCACGAGTATGCTGCAAGAAAAATTTAATAACTCTTCAATATTGCGTACATTGAAAAAGATATCAATATTAATATTGAGAAAGTTATTGATATATTTGCTAATAAAAATAGATTTATTGTATTAAAATAATAAAATATTTATTATATTATAAATTAATAATTTTTAAAGTGCATAATATTATATAGTTAGTAATTCATATTTAGTATTAGTAGTTTTGTAATTTAGTAATTTAATAGTTGATGCGTACTGAAGAGTGAAAGCATGATAGATATTAGAGTGGGGGTGTGGGGACAAAGCCCCCACGGCTTACTTTGCAAAGCAACATGTAAGCCCCCCCTCAAATTTGATCAAATCTCCGCCTATGCATTGGACACTTCGGACTGGTAACAGAAGCTACGGATAAACTCCAAGAGATTTCTCCAGGCTATCTGTTTTGTATATTAGCCCATAGACTCTCAAAACTAACCGGAAAATTGTAACCTTCGTTAGTGAAAATGTTGATCTGCACCGGATATATCATTGGTGGAGGGTTGAGGGGAATTACCAGGGCATATGTTACTTGATTGCACCTCCTGTTGGTTGACCTAAGCTGGTCTTCGTCTAACTCTCGCTTAAACCGTTCCACGCTCTCGCTGAGAATAGTGATTATCAGCCTCTGCTTTTTGACCGTTGATTCCAACCCCTACAGTCTATCTATCATCTACTTGATGAACTGATTTATCAAACCCCTTTCGGTGTTGACTTCATCTTCGTTAACCTGGGCCTCCGATGTATCTTCTTCCGGTTTCCTAAACCAGAATGATCTTGTATCCACATAGTTCTGGGTTCGAATAAATTCCCCAAATATTAAGAGTCTATCAACCTTGAACCTCGTGGTCAAAATGCCAAGCTTCGATAACTTCCGAAACCGGATAATCTCGGCAGGTCTCAGTCTTCACCGATGCATTTACTAGCCATGGTGGTCAATACATACATTTATATTGATATTATTCACCTAATTAAATTATGATAGATACAGAATTAAAGCAAATCGGGATATCGACGACACAGCTGTACTTTCCAATTTATAAATAGTCTTAGGCAATTTTATCTCTGTAGGAATCATGCTAAAATTTCGCATATTTTGTCAACATTTCTTACATTAGATTGGATACCAAAATCATTTATATCTTATCTAAAACATAGAATAAAACTTTTAGAAACCGGTATGATCAAGACTCCTATTGTAGGTTCTTTAACCTGATATGTGCTAATTTATTTTGATTTACTTAAAATTATTTTGTATTAAAATTAGCACTTACCTTATTCCATCCTACCAACTGTAGGATTGAAATATTACGGAAACGTTTTATTAACGACACAACTTTATTCAATATACATAAACAAGTAAGTATTTATTACAATTGGTATGAGTTGCGAAGACGACGGTCCAGCAAAAGCTATCGGCGGCAAAACTAGTTGTAAGTTGAGCTCTAGCGGACGTCGATAGAGTCGCCACGGTCGTTGCAATAACGACCGTGGTAGGATGTATTATGTTGTAGTAAAAGGTAAACCGTACAAATTGTTAATAGAAAAACCCTTTTTTTTACATTTTATTAACATTAGAAAACATTCAGTATCTATTTTGTCATTCTATAAAATATTTTATTTACTCATACCACTGTAATTTATGATCTCTAATTACGATCCGGGTCTTCCAGTTGTTCTCTGTACTGTAAACATCTCTGGTCAACATTTAACGCATGAGTCTTGTTCTTCAATTGCTCGTCTATCAAATTCATGTGCCCTATAAGAATAGTATGCATAGCTCTGTAAAAAAAAATTCATCGGTCACAATGTAGGCTAATTTTTTATTTAATTAATAAATATTATTTATGTGTTACTTTGTTTGATTGAGCTTGTCGTTCAACATTTTGGTAGAATTATCAAGTAGAACATTTTCTTTCTGTAGTCCAATAGTAGGTTTATCAAGACACAGTTCAGCCCCGTCTCTATATAGTCTTTCTTCGTACCGTGTCTCAACCAACTTTTTAGAATTTAATTTTCTATCCAAAGCGTCTTCGAGTTTATTAATTTCTTTTAACAGTGTCTCCTTGTCTAATTTCATCTTTAAAAAGTGAAAATCTACTATGTTAAGAACCTATATAATATTGTGCTAAATAAACATTGCCATACATTCTTTTTTTGCCATTCTAATTCATACTTAGCCCTTTCTGTGCTGTAAATCCGTTTTCTGAGACCAAAATTGACTTTGTCGTTGAGAGCTATCATGTCACTTTTAGTTTTATGTCGTAATAAATACATTTTTTCTCTCAACTTTTGTGAACTTAACAACTCTTGTTCGATAATTTGAATTAAATCCATACACTGTTGGAGCCAATTTTCGTAAGTATTGATACTACAAATTATTTACAATTTGAAGTTATATAAATATATTCATAAGTTGTTAGTTTAAAAAATAGTAGGTAACATAATGGTTAGGTGCTATTAAAAAAATTAAACAAGTGTTCATTAAAAGTAAAAAATATTTAAATTTTCAGTTTCATACAAATAAATTAAATATGTAAATAAATATTAACATGTTTAAAATATAGATAAATAGATTTATTTAAAATTATTTAAGCATTATTTACTTCGTTTTCGATAAAATAATTATAGTTTCAACATGACCAAACTAATTACCATCTAGGATATCAAATTACAATATAAATTTTATAAAATAAAGTTACATACTCTAAAAGTCATTCTATTTATATTCGAAAACTTACTCTTTCGGAACTCTAAGCGGATTTGGTTTAAGGGAGATATTTTCAGAGTCTTTTGTCAATTTCAACAACTCACTGTCTATTTCTATTGTATTACTTTTGTTTTCTAAGTCTCTGATGACATTCATTTGTAATTCTTCTAACTTATTTATCTGTTCCCAAGCATTTTGACATATTTCGGCTAGTGAAGTTTTCAACTTTTCCAAAGTCAGTTGTTCCTAAACAAACTTGATATATTATTTTATAGCTGAGAGACGAAGCACATTGTCAACGTCGTATAACGTCAATTATTTAAATAATTTAAGAAATAACCATACTGAATCATTTTCATCTTATTTCTCAAGAAACTAATAAATTTAAAAAACTTTATTCTAATTCAGACATTCTTGATGTCCTTGCATGATTAAAAACCCAAAACAGTGAAAATTACAACTGTATCAAAATTTCAAAATCTACAAATAGTTTACAAATATCGTGCATCTGAAAAAGCGATCATGTCTGAATTATTGATATGATGTGTAAAGTAGGTAAATGTAGAAAAAAGACCCACTAAAATTATTGATATTTTGGATATATGTGATGCAAATTTTTACCAAAACGTAAACTGAAAATTGGGCATCTCTACCAGTTTCTATATCAGCTGTTAAGCGTTCTTTTTCAACATTGAAACGCTTAAATACCTACCTAACTTAATAAAAATGGGAAATGGGCGATGAACAGCAATTAATTTTCTGTCAGTACATTGGAATAAACAAAGTATTGGATGCATAGATAGAAAAAACAGAAAATGTTCGTTTTAGATATTAATTGAAAATAATTAAATTGCACTATGTATTATAATTATTAAAATAAAATAAGACATTTTTCATAACATCCATGTAAAAAATTAAAAAATTAAAGTTATATTCAAAATTACTAATAAAACAAAAAAAATAAAATAAAATCCTGGCCACATATCTGATCAAATAAATAATATAACTATACAATGCGTACATTTTTTAGTTCAATAGAAGCAATATCATAGCATAAATCTTGACCACCTCTTTCATCTCTTAAACTTAAGCAATGGTTGGTAACAGTAAAGTTCAAATTTTGAAATTCTATAGCTTTCTCATTTTCTTTTTTTTCAATTTTCATCTCTTCAATTTCTTTTTGTAAGTAGGTTGACCATAATTCAATTTTAATTTTCCAGCGTGTTATTTCACTTTGTCTAAAATATTGAAATAATTTTAGTCTTACCACAGAAAATTATAATAAAAATCATACCTATCAACGATATTAGTATTGGTACGGCAAGTACTCCAATATGTAGTGAGGTCTGTCTCATTCCTTAATCTATGTGATTCATTTCCCAATGTAAATGCACAACGCCTATTTCTGTCACATGATCCTCTTAATTCAATTAATTTGTAACTCCAATCAGACTCTGATATGTTTGGTACAGGTTTTTCATAGGTGACTATAGACATTGTGTATTATATTTGACACCTAGTTAATTATTTAAACTAGAAGATCAAATATATATTATGCAATATGATCAAAGTAGGTCCTATACATTTGAGTTAATTATTGTTAGAAATAAATTAAAAATAATAATAATATAACTTGTAAATAATAAGATTAAAATAAATAAAAATTAAAGTATAAAATATTTTTTATTCTTATTGTTACAACGAAAAAACTATCCCTATGGTTACTATTATATTAATATAGAAAAGCCACAAAATGTAATTGAAATGAAAGACAAATAAATGTCATTCAATTTGTATGTAACAAATATAACCGCATTATTCAGAGACTAACAGCAAAACTAAACTATATTCCGTTCTAACTACATATATGGTAGACAAATTTTGAAAGTTCTAAATACCTATTACCTACCTAGCTATTCCAAAAAATAAGTGTCTTTCCCGCTTTTATTTTTTTGGAAAAGGATAAAATTTAGAATAGAATTGGCAAGTATAACATCGACGTGCTTAAGACTTAATTCAAGTCGAATAACGATTGAGAATAAATTACATAAAACAATAAAACAAATCTGCATATTGCGTTGTCTCCGTCTTAACAAAAACATAACAAAAACTGTTTTGGATTGAACAACTCTGGATGTAGTGATGGACTCCAAATTTGTATGCAATATTGTTGAGAACATATTATCTGTATAATAGTATCCTTTTTTATTTTTTCAATGTCACTTATACAAAAAAAACTTTTTATTGTTCCAAAATCTATTATTTTTGTGTTCTTGAAAAACTTTTTTTGTAGTTCCGATATTCATAAAATAAAAACGGTATTTCACAGCCAAAGTTATCCTCTTTAAGTGGTGAAAATTTGGTTTCTTAGTTATGTCTGCAGCCTTCTTTGTTTCTTCAGATGCAAAATAGTATTTTTTGTTTCACATTTGTAAGACGGAAAACACAGATGTCGAGTCCACTTAATATTGTCTTGTGTGGAAGTAAATTACCTCATGTACCTTATTTTATAATAAGAGGATAAATTGCTAATTTTTTGTTTATCAACATTTAATTTTGATGCTTCATGATTGTGCATAAAGACTCCAAAGTAACATTTCGTTTGAAAAATTCTTCATATGTGTTTTCAAATACAACACTTTAACTCTGTATTGGGTAATGTAATAGGAGTAACGCGTTACTGTGAAGTCTTAACTTTATTTGTAACGCGTTACGTACTTACGGAACTTCTTTAACATAATATATTAGTGTTATGTATCAATACTAATTATACTATTATTGAAATATATATTTTTTTATTAGGGTATTTATTATCTATATAGGTATTTAGGTACTAGTGTATTATTACTGTCTTAGACAAACACACGTAAGTGTTTGTGCTATTCAAATCTCTATGAAATCCATAATCGAGTACGCGATAAAGGCTCGGCCTTATGCAATTGGCTTTCGCGTATTCTACAGTGTCTGAATCGACTAAAATACTATTTTGTATTGTATTATATATATATATATATATATATATAAAGAGAGAATTATTAAAATAAGAAGAGTGGGTCGGAAAAAATACATTAATTTTTATTCTAAATTTCATGCCACCGATTTTCACATCAACATCTCAGACACAATGGCCAATCTAGATATCCCAGATTTTTTTAAGAATACGGATATTTTAAATCACACCTATATCATTGAGCATAGGTAGAGGTGAGATTTGGATTATTTACGTCGGGATGTGGCTTAAATATCTAGATGTATGGTTCTCTAGATGTTGACGAAACGTCTCCATCTTGTCCTCGTCAGTTATAGCAATAGAATTGTCAATTTTGGTTAGTGGAGGTAAACTGGATTTGTATTGTAAGAATTTATTTGTTTCCCTCCAGAGGCTACCGTCAGAATAGGATAAGTTGGATAGCTTTTGTTCGAATATGTCCAATTTGTATTTTAGAAGTTGTTTCTTAAGCGAATTAGACAGTTTGTTGTAAAGTGCTCTGTAGGAGGGTAAACTAGAAGTTTGATAACGTGCACTAGCTCTCCTTTTATCCGTAATTAATGAACGTATATGTATCGGTAATAATGGAATGCTATTGAAAGTTGGAGTAGACTTAGATTGGGATGCCCATGCAGCTGATTGAATGATTGGGGTAAATTTATCAACTGCATTATCAATACACTCATGTGTTTTTAATTTAACGTTCAGGGTGATCTCTTGATCTACTAAGTTGTGGAACTTAATACGATCTGTTGAAGGATAAAATAATTTTGGAGCTGTCATACGTAATGTTGGGGATGCATTGATTGTAAGAAGTACAGATGAGTGGTCAGAGTTTAGATCCAGGATGTTTTCCGGAGTGCAGACTAAATTACTTGGTACTTTGGCAATGAAAATATCAAAGATGTCAGGTTTTTTACGTAAAGGAGTTGGCCAGTACGTTGGACCTGGAGGGGCTAGAATTGAGTATTTTTCCGCGTTGACGAAATTGTATAGAACATTACCACGTTGGTTGCCAGCTCAACAGCCCCAGGATTGATGCGTTGCATTAATATCTCCAACAACTATGAAATTTGAAGTAAAAGATGAGAAATAGTCGAAAAAACAGTTGAAGATATGTTGTGTCTTGGGGGGCAGTAAACTGCAGCGATGGTGATAGGTATATGATTCAGCTCAATAGATACAGCACAGGATTGAAGATAATATTGTGAGAAGTTTGGTAGTGAAGAAAAGGACAAAGTAGATTTAATTATGACTGCAATACCACCATGAGCTTTGTTGTCTGGATGGTTGGATTTGAGCAGAGTATAGCCTGGTATAAAAACATTGGAATATTTGGTAAAGTGAGTCTCAGTAATTAAGGCAATATCGATGCGTTTTTCATATAGGACAGCTTGTAATTCATTGATGCGGTTTTTTAGGCTATTAGCATTGAAAAAGATGACTATGATTGATTTTGAAGTGGGTGAGTTATTTGTCATTTTTGTTATTTAAGAGAGATTAGATAACTTGTGTTAGCCGTTAGGAGTGTAATTAAGGGGTTTATTACTGATTTAAATTCATCAAGAAAAAATGAAATTTTTTTATCAACATCTAGTACAGGGGGAGAATGGGTGATATCTCTTGACTGATTTGAAATAGCATGGGCATAAGTTCTCTGGAATGAAGAGGGAGGGAGGGTACTAGGGTTGGTTTTCATAGGCAGGTGGCTTTCTTTTACAGTAGAATTATTATTAGTTGACTTAAAATGAACATTATCATGTAAAAAGTTACTTTTATTGTTAGGCTTATTTCGACGTTGAACTTCTCTATGGACGTTGCATCCTCGGTAGTTGATTGAGTGGTTGCCTGCACATAGGGCACATTTGGGAGGAGAGTCTCTTGGTTTGGTGCAGTCTGAAGAAGAATGAGAGTCTCCACAGCGGACACAACGAGCTGAGTAGCCACAATATGATCGCGTGTGACAATAGTCTTGACAATTGAGGCATTGACTGACCATCTTTGGTTTGTATGGCTCTTCGATTTTAACCTTCGTATGAAGAAGGGAAGATAAATGGTATATTTCATTGGAGTGGTCGGTGGGCTCCAAGTCAATGAAGAACAGTGGGAGTGGGCGTTTATTAATCTTGTGCAGCACGTTTGTGACCTGCCTAACCTCGTAAAGAGGTGTTTCAAGTTCAGCTTTAATCAGTTCCGTAGGTGTGGAGGGGTGCAAATGTCGAATAACCACTATCAATGGTTTGTCCTCTTTCAGTTGGAAGGTGTGGTATTCTGCTTTTTGGTCTTCTAGATAGCGAATTAGTGATCTATATGATTCGGGGTTAACAGTCTATATTTTTAATCGATTGGTAGAAGATTTGCAGTAGAAATTGTCTACTCCGATCAGCTCAATTAGAACTGAGGAAAAGCCAGGGAATTCTAAAACTCCTTTCATGAAGATTGGAGGTGGGGGTTTTATATGATCAGTGATGATGGATCCTTCGGAGACAGTGTCAGCTTCAATTCTTGTAGCAGCAGGTTTGGTTTGAGTAAGCACTTCATAACGATTTGTCGTTATAAATCATTTATTTTTTTTTTTTTTTGAGGTAGGATCAGGAGATTTTGGTTCAGATGAATCAGAATGGTTTCTTTTACTTGTCTTTTGTGTACAACCGGTATCCATGTTATCAACCTGGAGTGAAGTTGGATCTGTAGAGTTCAGCATAGGATTATTTGTAGAATTTTTGATTAGGCGAGCTGCCTGTATAGTGTTGCTGTTTTTGTTTTTATCTGCATGTTTATTAATCACTTTCGGTGATGTGGGAACGTTGAGAGGTCGAGGCATGTTATCTGTGGGCAAAGGTCGGGTACCGATGCACGTTGCAGCGATAGCGCGACGGATGTAGTAGACGGGAAGAACTTTATTTAAACGTAAACGTAGTTCGTTTACATTTAGAATGAAAAAGAGCACTTAGGCACACTTCCAGTTTTTATAATTTATATAAATAAATAGGGAAGACAATTGCGATTTTGTTCGTACTAAGTACGACAATTTCGGACGCGAAAATTTGACGGGATCACGAAAATTAAGCGGTGCGTGATTAAACGTGTGCGACAAGCGACGTGCAGACCGTGACTGACTGAAATATTAGAAATATAAATACATTTAGTTGAAATTGGTATATTTTTTTTGTTTATTGGTTGCCTGTAGTGGTTCATCGGGCAGATCAAGTATAAGCATTCATACAATTGAATTTTCGCACATTGCCTACCAAGGTAGCTGAATTGAACTTATAGCCGCTTATCGGCGAGTCTGCAATCATAATAAAAATAAAACTTTTTATTTATATAAAGTTCTCATCAAGCGGGGTCCGCAATCCACAACAAGAAGGCATGATATACTGCTCGCATTATCACCATCGAGTCTCATATAGAGTTGGCATTTTTAACGGGCAACAAAGTGCACGGGATTAGCTAGTAAAATATAAAACCGACAAGTCATATGCTCAAAAATATTATCCTCTATATTTTTTTAATATGTGATTTTACTCAAAAATTACTCAAAAATCATAAAACGATTTAAACTGAAAAAGTTTTATTTATGTTTTTTATCTATGGGTTTGAAAGAGAAAACAAATATTGTGAAGACATCCTCTTAATTTTTATTGAAATTAGTGCTGTCGCTATAACCATAAGCTATAACTTATATGAACATACTCCATGACACATATGGACATAAATACAAGACTCAATTATAATTACTCTATTATTATAGTAAAATTTATTTTGCATTAATGAACCTATTATGTATATTGATAATTGATACATTATTATTCACTTGTTCTGTGTTCTGGTATTCTGCACTTCTGTTTCTGTAGTTCACTCATACAAATCTAGGACGTGTCCCCCTTGATTACATTAATAGTTTAATTTAATTAATTAATTAATATAAATCAATACTCAACCATACAGTATAATAAGTAATAACATTATTGCTAGTACAAATTATCCCCCTTATCACCCCTTTTCACCACCACTGGCACCACTAATAGTACACAAGTGTTGGTACTCGATAATGGGTATAGACGTATAGTACTTGAATAATACCATGATAGTATACTACTACATTCAAGTATAGAAGCTATAACTAGCAAGTTGCAACTATAGCAATAAGCAAGACGCATGATATAATATTTATAAATAATATCATGGAAATTGGTAACTGGCAAAATGTTTAGAAAAATGTTTGTAATATATATGTTTCTACGGTAGGTACCTAATAACCAATTATAGGTATCAGTTATTAGACATATTTTAAACGCGCCGGTGCCGCCGTACCAACTTTACTATTAGTGCAATGCTGCCATATATAAATCACTAGCCATTTACAATAAGCCAACAACCGGCTGACAAACTTGCCGCAGGTCGCAGCACTGTAACTTGCAATTGCAACAACTGTCTACCGCCGCAGCAGCGCCGCTGTCGCAATTCGGTATCTCCAAGTCACAACTTCACAAGGCGCTGACCGACGGCCGACGGGTGTTTGTGTAGTGGTGTACACATGCATTTACTCGTTCATCTCTGTCTCTCTTAGTCTCTTGTGTCTGCTCTCATATCCTGTTTTTATAGTGTGTTGACACTTTTGAGTTCAGATTTGCGATTTGCTCTTTGTAATTGCTACTCGCTAGCTGTATCACCAGCTCAAGCCTTTGTCGCTGCAAGATGTCTGTGGCGATCAACGAGGGGGCCTCCACCTCTGCCGGTATGTCGGAGTACGAACTCTTGCGACAAGAGAACATGAATAAACTGCAGCACGAGGTCTGTATTTGATTATTGTTATTATTATTTGTCGTGACTGTCTAAAGTAGTATTCATACCTGCAGTCTTCTAAACTACATCAATATCTCACGCACCGTTCGTTTACGTCTTGTTTTTTCTCCCCCTCCCCCCCCGCCCCTGTTCACTATTTTATGAATAAATTATATTTTTATTTTGTGAATCAGATAAATGCTTATTAACATTTGTATGTTCTTGGGCTGGCTACAAGATATTTTGTTTCTGATTGATTTTTCGTAGCGTTTTCATTGTCATAATGTCATGATTACTTATTGATAAAAACATTCATCATTCATAGATTTTCCTTGTAGAGGAAAAAATACATCTAATAGCGTCATAGAACTCTAGTGGTCTACATAAACTCGTAAACTGTTGCTTGTGGTATAATTTATTGTAATATTTATTTACAACACGTGAAATTTAATTAAATTGGTAAACTGTTATTCTGTACTAGAATATTTGTCTCAGAGATCTATTCTTGTGATATACCATATACCTAATGTATTATCATTATTATTTTTAATTATCATTTTGTTTAATGTGGTACAATTGTACTTAACCTCACACTCTCATTTTTTCCGCTCATGTACGCACTCTGTTGTAGTTGTCATAAAGTACCTAGTCAACAGTCATGTTATATTTGTGTACAGTTCTTTTTAATAATTTAAACATGGCTTATTATAAAATATTGTTTGACTTTATAAATTAAAATAAAGTTCTTAATTAAACTATGTGTTTTTTATAATAAATACAACCTGAATCCTAAGAACAAATAAAATTAAAACAAAAGTGTTCAGAAAATATCAGTTTAACTTGAATATTTTCTAAGTCCAAATAATTCACTGTTCAAAATTATTCTTAGTCCAGAATAATAAATCAAAAGACTGACTATCGTTCTGATATGACTTTTATGAGTGCACATCCTGGGTGTGGTGGCATTTCCTAATATCTACTACGCAGTATCATAGATTACTATTACAAGTGCATTAATATATTATATTTTGTATTATACTATTTTATATAATCATTTCTCCAGTGGTTTTTTATATGTTTCCATTATTTATATTATTTTCAAGAAATGATAAGCTAGACTCTTTATACTGATCCTTTTTCCAATAGTTCAAGTTCCACAATCGTCATAATACTTTACTATTCAACACGACTCCTCCTTCATACATATTCATTACCTGTACCTAGCTTACCCTTCTGACTACATGGTTGTACAAGAATGCAATGTTAATTATACTATAATAAGGTTTAATGCGGGGAGACAGTCCATAGCAGAGCAATATAGAAGCGAAACTCAATCAGCTGATCAGGTTCTTGTTTATCTATGGTTTTTTATGTCTATTACCTGTCTACATAAAGAAAAAAACAACGAATCTGGATGTAAAAAACCAAAAGTCAAAGTTTACTACCTAATTACCTTTAATTACCCATCATTACCTACAGGGTGTTTCTTTTGTAAATCTTAATTTGCGCATCTTACTATGGTATGTCCTTTGCAGGTATAAAATATTGTTTGAGCATCTCTTTCTACTATTCATTGCTTCACTACCTAAGTATCAATAATGTTTTTCTGGTTTCGTATGAACTAATCTAGAATTAAATATTTTGTTTCAGGTGGGTGATATATTAAGTGATGCTCTGCAATGTGCTCAGAACCTTAAAAAAAATTTGCGATTCCGAAGTGGAAGAAGGGCAGCTCATATACCTGGGCTACGAGTGAAATTATTCTCTAAACTGGAAAAATCATCAAAAGCGAAGAAGGCTCAAGAAGAAAATATCCGCCGATCATCACGTTCTAAAAAGTATGCATAATAGTTATCAATTTATAAAAAAATGATTTGCCATTAGGTAGTCAGTTAAGAAATGCAAGGCAATTTCTATCTACTTACCTAGTCATTTTTGTTAATTTATCTACTTATTCATTTAATTTACTTGGGTAACAAGTGTAGTAATAAAAAATATATGTTTAAATAAAGTACTTTTCAGTATTGGTAGATGATTTTTTTAGTTGAGGAAAAAATTAATTTAGTTTCTCTTTCAGTTAATAATTATTTATGTAATTGGTAGTTTTCCAATCAGTAAGTTACTTATTACCCAAAAATATATCACTTTGAACTTTTTTTTATGTAAAAACTAGAGGTTAAAAAAAAATTATTTCAAAAATACAAGACATAAAATATTTGATACTTGCAGGTGCTATTTCATTATTTAATGATAAGTACATTTTTGCAATTAACATTACGTAAATGTTAGGACTAAAATCTTATTATATTCCTCTTATTGTTTTATTCGATCAAGTGACAGTCTAATACATAGGACATAAGCATTCACTTCTATCATGTATTATTTATTTTATATGTTTTTTTATTTTTTTTATTCAGAAAGCAAATTTATTATGATTCTAAAGATGAAAATAATGGTGGCAAAAACAAAAAACGCCGACTGAAATTTAAACAACAGAAAAAGTTTTCTTTGCGTAAATCCAAAGTAATTCACGTAATCATTCAATAGAACTAATAACTTTTAGTATGAAATACATTTTTAATTGTGTAATGTTTGATTGATCAGGTTTCAAAACAAAAAATTAGCAGAAAAGTATCTCGATTGGATGTATCTCTTGTAACACAAGAAATGATAGACAACATAAATTACCGATCTGCAGGAAAAAAATATAGTACTGAAAAAGGGACCACTTGTCACCAATGCAGGTAACATTTATTGCTGAAAAATATTTTAAAACTGCTATAATACATATTATGTGCTGATTTAGTAATTTTATCATTGCCTAATTTGATAATAATTTTTATATTTTGTATAAATTGCATAAATTAATAAGTGTTATGTTGATTAAATTAAAATATTCATTCTTTTCCTAATGTATTTTAATTATTCTTGTTATAAAAAACTACAAGATTTTTATTTGTTAAGATATTTAATTATTTTTTTTAATGTTCCGTAGTAATTGATGTTTAGTTTTTATAAATGACAAATTTGTTAATAATAAAAATATAACACCAACATTCAACAGAATCTCAACCTACCATTCTACTAAAACTTCTCTACCAGCCTCCTGCAAAAACATAACTCAATTAAATACTAAATGGAAATTATGATTTTTAAATTTAAAAACTGATTCTCTAAGATAAGATATCTTAGTTATATTAAACCACAGTCTACACTAAATTGTATTACTTAACAGTGAAAACAGAAAATTGTATGGTTTGTTTGATTAATAATGTTTACTTAAAATTAAAATTATTTTACAGGCAGAAAACTATGGATCAAAAATCGTACTGTCGGCACAAGAGTTGCAAAGGTATGAGAGGTATGTTCTGTGGTTTTTGTTTGGGTAGACGATATGGTGAAGATGTAGCTGATGTTTTATTGAATCCGGTAATTTATATTTATTAATATATTTTTAAGGAGAAACAATTATTTATTAATTTTTACATATTATGTATAGACATGGGCATGTCCACCATGTCGCGGTCAATGTAACTGCAGTATTTGTAGGCGAGATCAGGGCAAAGATCCAACCGGACAATTGGCTCAAGTAGCTAAAGCTAATGGATATAACTCTGTTTGCGATCTATTAAAGACAATAGAAGGAGAACCCAGTGAACCGCAAAACAGTAATTCTGTAGAGAACCACGCTGAACTTCAGGACAGAGATGTAGTTGTTTTTACCGATATTCAGTCAAAGACTGATCATTTTAATGACGAGGCTGTACTTGATGAACATAAGACTGGAAACAAGGTGGAGAAGTTAAAATCAATGAAAAAAGATGAAGAGCAGTGTAACTCTAAAAATGATATAGAAGAGCATAGAGAAACTTCAGAAATGATTATTGATAAACTTTTTAAGAAATTAATGTCGTCTTCGTTATTAGAAGAAGAGAACTAAAAAAATCTGAACAATATTCCAATTATAAGCAGCAAATAGCCATATAACTTACTAATAATATTACCTTATTTTATAAATAATTTTTTTTTTCAACTTGCATCTTGGTTTATTTTTTTACCTGGAGTTATAGTTAAAAAGTAACAATTTAATTTAAACTGTAATAAAAATGACAGTTGATACATTCTATGTATGTGTAAAATGATTTTTTGACTTTACTATTATGTGTTATTGACAAGTGCTCATAATTAATTTTCTATCATCATATAAATATACATGTATCTTTTTTTTTGCTTAAATATTTTCATATATTTGTGGCCATACAAGTAAAACATTTATTTTAGTTATAAAACTTAAAGCATTAATATTTTTCAAAAGTTATGTTTTTTTTATTTATAATATGATATTAGGTATGTTTAGTTCTACATTTTGTTTCATATTATATATACAATTTTACAGTTATAATTTGTATTTATTTAAAATAATTATTATATTTGTTAATGTTATGGAGACCAATATTGAACTGTCTTATAATGAATTGGTGTCTAGTGACAAATATTTACAGTATGCCCCAATATAATCATACATTTTTATAGATGCTATACAAATTAGGGGTGGTCATCAATTGGTCTAATTCTACTACCTTTTTATATACAATATTAATATATGTTAAATTATATTAATAATAAATGATAAATATATTTTTAGAGGTAGCAAAAGACTGCTTAATCTTCAACTTTGATGAGAGTTTTTGGTAGAAAATTAGATTCAGAAAAACAAATATTATCATTGCCCTTGAATAAGTCAATTTAGCTTATGTGTTCAATTTAAATTCAATGATAAATTTCTATATGACAATATCTTCAAATGCTGACTAGTAACTATTGAATGGCTAAGTCTTAAGTGTAAAAAATGATATATTTTTCTAAACTTAAATCATTATCGACATAGGTTTATTATTAAAATGTAATAAAATATATACTTTTTATTATATTTTAAGATTTTTATATTTTTTTGCCCATAGTATCATTTATCTAGTTATATATTAGCAGTATAGTTAAAAGTCTTTAAAAAATTATTAAAAATTATTTAGGTACCTACCTACGTTTTAAAAATATAAATAGGAGTATAGATGTTGTTTGGAGTATTGGGTAAGCATCATTATTAGAATTAGAAACAATAGTTTTAAAAAAAAAAATTGTTACGAGATCGTTTAAAATGAAGGCCAGTTATTTTGTATTCGAGGAAAGAAAACAGGTTATGGCTTCATGTTTTAAAAAATATTTATGCTACATGTCTGAACAAAGGATTAACATTTTCAAATATCTTTTTAATATTTAGTGTACAAATTAACTTACAAGATTACTTAATACTTAGATACCTAATTCAATTTTTTTAAATAAATGTAAAGTATTTAGTATATCACAATAAAGGATTGGTTTTTATCGTTTTATAAAAAGATAAGATAACAATTTTAAATACCTACATATTTAAAAAAAAACTTTTACTCAACAAATCAATTTTTTATATTTTTGTATATAATTGAGAATGGCCCTGGACAAATAATTACATATTAAATTATTTTTTTATTCAAATATACAGACAATATCTATTACAAATTAAGTATCATCTAAATGCTATCAAGTTGTAACATCTATTTAGTAGCACTATGGCAGTTAATGTAATTGGTGTATAACGGTTTATAAAAGAAGAAGTCCTGATTAATAATTCAGAACCGATGCCAGCCTATGATGGGTAGCGACTTGCAATTTTCCGGGTATGTTTGTATTTGTATCATAGTCTAGGCGTGCAATATTTTTTTAATAATTTTGATTTCAAAAAGGTGTCCAAACAGGGATCCTAGGATTCACGGTGGAAATTGAAACTTTTTTTGTTTATAAATTTCTTGTAATATTAATGTGTTTACCTACACTGTTTATATTATTGAGGTAATTTTGTTGTATATTTACCCCGTTGATAGTGGCACATTTTTGAAAATAATTTAATTAAAACATTACTTATTTCTATAAATTTCAATTTTTTAAGTTTTTAAACTTTTTTTTCACTGATATCAAAAACAAAAAAAATTAAAATGTTCTTTGATCAAATGTGTCAATCATATAAAAAAAAATATCCAGTTACCCGTTTCCAAAATGCATATAGGAGTGTACATACACATTCTAAAGAGCTGTTACGTGAGTTATTAATTCAAGATTTTGATATTCTTGCAAATATTGGTTCAAGATGTTAAAAGGAAGTCTTGAAGAATCTGCTATTCGCCTAACTGTTTGAGTATTGAATGCGTCAAACTTCAATCAGTACCGTCACTCATAACATTTTATTGAGACAATATTTTAGATTATGGACTTCCGATGAATGTATCGATTTTAAACTTCAGTAACTTTTCTGGTGGAATAGGGAACGTGATCTAGTTAATGATGCATTTGAGTGTTAAAAATTGAAAATTCCCAGTAATTTCCAAGGTGTCGAAAAAAAACAACAAAATAGTAAAGGGAAAATAGTAATTTTACACAAAATTAATCGTTTATATTAGCATTGCCTAAACACCATTCAATTTTCAAAATATATTAACCCCTTTTGAGCTATTTATAGTAATTATTTTTATTATTAGTATTTATAAGTTATTTATTATAATTTTTTTTTTGATTGGTTTAAAATAAAATGAAAATTTAATACAAGGTTCTTCAAACGTTGTTGTTAGTATAGTTGTAAACAAAAAATTAGCAACGTAAATTCACAGTAATTTTTTATAAGCCTCTAAAATTAGAATAATCACACAATTCGTCAAAATCAGGAAAATCTGGAATTTATTTTCTTAGAATTTCCAAAAATATTTCCTTTATGGCTTATACATCAAAGATATGAAAATATTATACTTGATTTCTCATTAGATTTTTTACCTTCAAAAAAAAAGTTTTACCGAAAAGTCAAATTAAATTCTTATGAGCGTTTGAAGTTCAAAATTATATCACTTTGCATACTCACCCATAAACTATCGATTTCTAGTTGAACGTTTTTCTTATGTAGTTGTAATTCATAATTTCAAAAAGGAATCACAGTAGATAATTACCTACTTGACATTTTTATTCAATTTTTAATTTTGTTTCTATAAAATATATAGATATATCGATTGTTTTCCTTTGATCAAAAACAAAAAGCTTGACAATTAGCAAATTATTTTGTAGTTCAAAATTTATGAAAAATGTACAACTAAGAAATTTTCTATAGAAGGAAGCAGTTTTATTTAATTATTAAAAACAAGGTGTATTATAAGTAGTTCATATTATTGCCAAAATATCTAAAATATACATGAACATTGTCTTTTTTTTTTATAGACATTTTCAGTTCATATTTGGACAAAAAATAGATATTTTAATGAAAAATAAGAATTTTAGTCATTTTGTTTTAATTTAAAAATATCAATCGTGTGTATATTTTTAAAATATATTATTATATTTAATATACAGAATGACATTTTTAAATGCAATGTTTTTGATAAAAATTAATTCGACATCTACTATATTACAAAAATTAAAAAACTTCAAAAGCAACAACATCATAAAATATAGGTACTTAGTGAATAGTGATATTGTAAAAATCATTTTTTCGTATGCAATGATTTTATATAATTGTATTTAAATTTAACATATCATTACATATTGACCTACTCATTGACAAAGTACATAGACAATTTTCTATACAACAGAGTAACAATAAATTTTTTTGAGTTATTTTATTAAAACTTAAATTTTTTATTGTACAATAGACAAACTAAATTTGAAATTAAAATAATATTCTACAATCAAAAGTAATATTAAACTTTACCTAACCAATAAAAATAAGTAGGTACCTAATATTTTTAAAATATAGGTAATAATAACAGTTTGATAAAACATGTTCTGCCGTTGCTGTCTGGGACATATTATTATCTATAAAATCTAAAAATTAAAAATGTAAGTTAATAAGATGTATTTGATTTTATCACATACAAATATATAATATTTTTTATTTTTATTTTTATTTTGTTAACTATTCACATCATCAAAATTCAATTTATGATTTGACAAAATGAATACTTTGTATTACAAAGGTATTCATTAATTTATTCATATAAATATGAATATAAATAATATTTCGTACCTACATCGAACAACTAAATCTGTACACCGGTCAGTTGTCCAATCACTTGATAGTAAAGGCACTACCATAGTAGGTATAATTATTTTGTTTCTGCTTTTCTACCGATATTCGATCCTACATTAAACATTAATGTAATAATAATGTACACTTTCAAAACATATTGTTAGGTACAATTTTCCTGATTATTCGTAAGTTTTTTTTTACTAAAATGTTCATACGAGTTTAACTCTTGAAACCATACTCATTTTTTATTACTATTACATAGAAGTTAAAATATTTACGAAATCGGATATTCAAATAATTAAGAATTAACGTATGTAAAATGACAATTCCAAAATTTCTGTTGGTATTTGGTTTGTTTTTGTTTTGAACCGCTGTAGTGGCACAGTGCTCCGTAACGTTATAGTTTGCATGGCTAAATAACTTATTTAGCCATGATAGTTTGTTTACCAAACATCGGGAAATCGGGTACCGCCAGTACCTCCATCACTACAACTACTACGACTACTGTCACTACTACCACACAGTTACGACACTGTCTACAAGCACGACTACTGCCTAGCCTACGTCACGGCCCACGACCGACCGCGGCTGCTGTCAGACACCCTATCGGCTATCACCGCGAGCTCAACCCGTCGAAAAACGTTATCTTCTTTGTTCGTCTCGAAAACTACGTAAATGTTTGTGTATGTGATGTGTAGAAAATAGTGGGGATGCGCAACTTTGACCAATATACGAGCACAGTATCGTGATACGAGTGTGGTGGACATACCTATCTATTTTGTTAAGGTAGTTTGTGCACTCCCCCTTACTGACGCTCTACTCAGTACTCACAGGCTTTACCACTACCCATGTCCCCCGACCGTCTTCGTTGATTTTGTTTTGTTTTTCCGTAAGTTCCTTCTCACGTTCGGCGCTCAGCGTTGTTGCTTGTCACTCGTCTGCTGCTGGGCCATTTGTTTTCGGACCGCCGTCGACGACCGCAGAGGCAGAACACTCACATCGAAAATCACAGCTCGCCGTCCGAAACACCGTGCACGCCTCACCGCCGTCGACTTAGCGTGTGCGACCAACGTGGTGGTGATCCGCCGACCGCCGCAGACAGCCAGCCGCCCGCCCACCGTCGACCAGCCATCCTGCCCGTCCATTGCGCCGTGCCCCGACGATAATACCGTTGTTCTACAGTTCTACACTGTCCGCTTGATCACGATCGCCACAGTAAGTAGAATCGCGTTCGTAAAGTTTATACTTAGCGAGTTAACCATTTTAAACGTACATTGTATAAATTATTAGAAACAAACATGGTTTACAAAATAAAGAAACACTCAACGATGCCCGTTCACGTAGTCGATGACCATAACGATGCATTGCGATATATCTACCGCGAAATAGGTTCAAAACACTTGCCCTTGTATGGCAATGTTCTGTTGCATTTCGATTCGCATCCTGACTTGTCCATTCCAAAAGATATGCCGGCTGATTATGTTTATGAAAAAGAACAGTTGTTTGATTCGTTGAGTATTGAGAACTGGATACTGCCAGCTGCGTACGCCGGCCATTTTGATAAAATTATCTGGGTAAAGCCTCCTTGGGCACGGCAATTCAATGAAGGTGAAATTGTGTTCAGTATTGGCAAGCACAAGACTTCCGGCGCCATACGATTGACTAATTCTAGTGATTTCTATTTGAGCGAAGGTCTTTATTGTTTGGAAAATGATCTCATTAATATTAGAACAATCAAGTTGTTTGTGTTTACTATGTGTAGTTCAGTTTTTGATGATGGCGAGGAAAAATTTGAACTATTACGAAACAAATTTGTCGAGTATACTAGAGATAATCCTCATTATATCTTAGATTTTGATTGTGACTTTTTCTCCACAAACAATCCATTTTTGTCCATGTACGACAAAGCAAATCTGTATACTAATCTACATAAAATTTATACATTTAACTCTCCGGCTAATAAGGAAGACATTAACAGCTTACTACAATGTTCTCGCTCTAGAGAAATATTGTTGCAAGAATTGGAATCTGTGTTCATGCATCTTGATGACGGAAAGTCACTAGATGAGTATCCGACTGAAACTTTAACTGCTGTAAATACTGAAGATTTATCGTTTATTGTTAATGAGTTGTTGAAACATTACGATACAATTGACTGGTTAATAGTGCATAATGCTGGTTGCACAATTGACAACATTGAATTACCTAACCATCACACGGACATAGCTGATATCGCAAAATCTATGGATATTGTATTCAACTTTTTACCTATTATACATGAACCAGCTGCTATTACAATTGCTTTGTCCACTGGAGATGATTACTGTCCATTGGAAAGTGCACGCTTTATTAATGAATCATTGCTCGCAAAGCTAGAATGCTTGTATAATAAACTGAATGTTCAAAAATGTACTGAAGGTTCCTAAATTACTGAAACATTATCTAAAGTATAAGTTTATTTTATTATAATTGCTAGTAGGTTTTTTTATTCTGTGTGCAACATAATATTTTTTTACAACTAGTATTATCATAAATTTAAAGTTTCTCCGTGAGTCTTGAGTTTTAAATACATTATCATTAGTTTTATACAACTTATTTTTTTATTTTAATACCTACATTAGTGTGTCTAGACTTTAAATGTTAATATTACAATATTTAGTGTCTAAGTATTATATTATATAAACATTTAATTTAATGAGAAATTCTTACTAAATATTTTCATCAATTATTTTAATACTATTATGTCTTATGACTATTTTAAATATCTAATGTTTCAGTCAAAAATAATGATCATTCTCTTACTAATGATAGCACTGCTTAGTTCTTAAAGTTTTTTAGATAAGTAATTTTAAGTAGGTATATGAAAACAATTTTTGGATGTTTATCAACTGTAATTTTTTTAAATAGAATAACCAATCTAATTAAATTCAGGCCATATTTTATAAAACTGATAAAAATGTTGAACTAAAATTTGACTTCATTAATTTATTGTAGGATGTATATTTTCAAACAATTAAATATTAATCATTTCACCAGAGTCTGTAAATTATATTATTTTATTTTTTTATTAATTTTTAAATATTATATAGTTGGTGTTAAATTGTTAGTCATTAGTTATTCATGATTAAAATTGTTGATCGATTGTCCTAAGTATATTGTTTAAGTTATTGTTAAACCATACATCACTTATTCACCATTCAGTTTAATTTCCATCTAACTGTGATTGTTTGATTAAATACCTCTATAAAATTGTGATGAATAATAGATATTTTTCTATGTCAAATACTAAGGGAAGTATGTATTAAATTCATTTGAAACAAATTAAAGTTTTTAGCTCAGAATAAATTGTATGTTTATAGATAACATGTAATACAATATTAGTTTTTACAAATATATTTTTTTATGTGTGTGCTTAAATGTTAAGTTTAATATTATTACTTTATTACTCAAAAACAAATGGAATTTTTCAAAATATATTTATTTATTTTTTCGTTAGAATTGAAAGTGTGAAAAAATATTATTGTGGAATAGAATGAATTTGTATTTTCACACAAATTAATAATATTGTAGGATACCATAACAAGTATTTTTAAGATCTTGATCTTGATAATTTATTCGTGTTTTTATTTTTCTAAAACATAAATTATAGTATTTGTGTCAGATTTACTGTTTTTGAACTAAGAAATATTTAAATGTAAATCTATAAATTAAATTTTATTCTATTAATACTATATTTTTTTTTATAAATTTAAATATACGAGATTTTACAAACACACTATTGCGTATTGAGTTTTAAATTATAACATTATATACCTAACTACATAAAATCATTATAATTAAATTTTATCACTATATAAAATTATTATACATGGTACCTATTATATTATTTATCAAATATCATATTCCTTCATTGATTTACTCAATAGGTATGCATAATTGATATAAATATTGTTTTTTTCGTAAATGCAAAATTATTATAAATGTATAAACTGAAAAACAGTAAATAATAATTTCCAGTTTTTAATTTATACTATTTATATTAAGTTTTTATAAGTATTATGAATTCAAACACTTAAATTATCACGTTTATTGGTTCTTAAACATTTTTGTCTTCTGTTATTGAAAGTTGTAGCAGTGGTCATTATTTATTCAAAAATCATGACTGTCAATACACGTTTACATTGGAAAACTTTAATAATGGTATATTTTATAATACTTAAATACTATTATGTAACAACAATCAGCTATTTTTTTTAACAATTAATAATTAATTACTTGTCTTTAAGAATTTAGCTAAAGTAATAAGTTACTAATATTCTATTTTAATATTATACAAATTATTACAACTCCCATGATTGGTATATATTGTATAAAATATAAACAAAAGTGTAATGCTATTTTACTTTTCAGATCCTTTGAATCGTTGCAGATGGAAACTATGCTGCAGCGTTTGTCGTTTGAAGATGATGAAGAAGTCTACGAGGAAGAAGAAAATACTCATATTTTAGAACTAAGAGCTAAAAAAGAGTCTACCTTAAGTCGTTTCTCGTCTGATGTTAAAAAATCAGTAAATTTAATTATTGATGAGCTGCTGTGTGAAACTTTATTTAATATTCATAAGGAATTAAAATTAGGAGTTCTTGATCCAAGACGATTTGATTTTAATTACAGAAGACGCTGTAACACTCCAACTTTAATACTTATGGCTGAACATTTGAATATCACTAAACCAACTCAGGAAGTTGATTGTCCCAAATGTTTTGTATCAGTGAAATGTCTTTTATTATCTAAACATTTAGCGTGTTGTATGAATCCAAGCCAAAGCACCTATTCTTATAGTAGTAGAAATAGTTCTCGAATTGCTCGACAGCGCATACAAGAAGGTTTTAAGACAGCTTATGATGAATCTAAAAATGATAGTGAAGATGAACGAGTTAAACCAAAGAAACGTATCAATAAAGGAAAAAAGTCCACAGTCAAAAGCGTAAGGTAAAATTACCCAAATCTAGTTATTTCCTTATTATACTTAAGAGTTAAAAAGGGCTTAAAAATTATTAGAAATCAGTTATGTTACAAACATATTTTTTAGAATTTTTAAATTGTTCATTTTATGTTTACGTGTTAATCTTAAATATGTTTTATACAATATCTTATATGTTATTCCCACAACATATGACAGCCATTGTGTGGTAATATTTGTTTTATATTTTGAGGGAATGACATCAGTATAAATATACATCTAGGATCTAGCTATTGAATATTTAACAAGTTAGTTAATATAAATATTTTTAATTTAAATCAATATTAAAATTTCAAATCAAGAGTTTAGTGTTTAAAATACAAACCACTTGTAATTTTATAACTATTTACATAATTGTATATTATTTTTTATTTATTACATACTAAGTAATACTACCTACTTTGCATTTATAAGATGAATTATAATAATTTAATTTAATCAATTTACACGTAATATAACTCTTAATAATCTAACACATTAACTGTACTGTTTGTATTCATATATTGATTTCAACTATCATATATTTTAGTTATCTAAATAAAATGTTGTATAATGTAGGTACATTTCTTTATACCTTAAACAACCTTGCTATTATTTTAATTTATAGTTTTAATTGAATATATTTTCTTCCTTATTACCTACTTTGCTTTTTTATGCGTATTGTGAATACTTTAAATCGGTGTTTCCTAACCTTTTTGATATAGCAACCCACAAATTTACCTTTTTTACAAATTTAGTTCTGTTACATCTAAAGGCAATATTTAGATGTAAACTAATTTTTTATTTCCCTATTGTTATTAATTTATAATAGCAAGCCATAAAAATATTTTGCAATTCAATTTAGGGTCGCGATTCATAGGTTGGGAAGCACTGACTTAAATGCTAATTGCTATTAAATTATTCATCAGCTTACCAATATTTCCAAAGAAATCTAATCTAGAATTTAAAATACTTATGTGAATCATCCGTCACGTAAATCATAAGATGTATTCAAATTTATTATTTGTTATTTTGGGTGAATGGACCCGATTTAAATAATTCAAGATCTACAATATCACTGTAGAATTGATATTCACTATTATTTGTCTTAAATCTATGTTCGGTACACCAAAATTGATAAGTTTCTAGTTACATGTTAATTCATTTTAATTTGCAGAAGATAAGTAACTAGGTGACTAATCATTTAATTTTTATTTTAGAGAGTAATTTAGTAGTTGAAATAATGTCTAAATTAATAATGTACACTGTACAAATCTACTTATTTATGCTTGATATGAGTGCCTCCTATATTAAATAATGCAATATTGCAATGTGTTTATATTTTGAGCATTATAACAATTTCAATGTTTTGTTACCATTTCTACTGTTCTTCTGCTGTAATTTAAATATGGAAAAAGCTCATAATAATTATAATAATGATATTAATAAACCTTAAGTAAATGCTAACTTGCACAAACAATGTACCTATGTTTGACTTTTTGCTCTGAATTTTTAAAAGTAAAAACTTGCATGTCTTTCGTTCACTAAGCCAATTTAAACATTGTATTTCAAGCAAAACAGACGTGCATTGGTCTCTATACCATGTGTCTAGTTTTTAAAAACTATGTATGAAGGGGTAATCCGGTAATCGGTCAAAAAGTCTGTGCACATTTTTATTGTTGAACAAAAAAATATAAAAATACGAAGTATTTTATTAAATTTTCCTTTATAAGTACTTACTTATAATATATTATATAGGTATATATTTAATTAATGTTAATTTTAAAAATGTAATTAATTTTCTTATGAAATATTAATATTTCATATATGATTACTATTCTTTCTACTTTATATTCAAAATAATGGTCAATATAAAAGAAAATATATTTTTGAACCTACCTACTTTTATATTGATCATAATTTAAAATTTTTGTATGGAACCATAATATGTGTATGCTATAGCGTGTAGGTACTAGGTAAGTATAAGGAATAGTAATCAAATATATAATGTAATATTAGTATATATAAGAAGAATAATTAAATTTTTTAAATTAATATTAATTATGTATGAAATAGAGTATGGGTGTACTTATTTACTATATTATGTAATTGTTAGTGAAAATATATTAGAATTTTTTGTCTTTCCAGACTTTATTTTTTTTAAGGAAATTTCATGTCCCCCCAACTTTACGCCCAGGATTTGTATAAAAGTTTACTTGTGATATGTGAGGTATGTTAGGTTCTTCAAACAAAAGTAAAAAGTTATTGATTTTACATTCAGTTTAAAAAAAATGGATAGGTTTGTAAAATAAGTTATTATTTTTAAAACTATTTAATATTTATGATTCATAAAATTATAAATAATGATAACTTGAATTTTGTGTATTAAATAAATAATTATGACTATAACTTTATTTTTATCAATAAAAATAAATAGATATTGCATTTAATTTAAAATAAAATGAAAGCTTAAACTTTTTCTTCACTGCATTAAATATAAAATTAGACATGACTAATACTCTTTAAAAAAATATTAATATAGTACAATAATAATAATACACATACCTATATTATATTAGGTAGAACTGTAGAAGGTTAAAAAAATGCTATAAATGCTTATTTGTATATCAATAAGTAATCACGATTAATGATTAGATAGTATAATGAATGTAATACAGTTTTATTATGTATACTTTCTAAAATAGTAAAATTTAACAAAATTACAAGTAGATATGTATCGGAATATTAAAATTAAGTAGGTATTTACTGTTTACGGCTGATATACGCAATAGGTACTCAAAAAAAAAAAAAATGTAAAAAACTTTAATTACGAATACCTACCCATCACGATTAATCGAATATGTCTTTTGTATACAATTCGCGAGAGTTATATAAAATATAAATTTGTATTTTATACCTCAACAGCTGTTACTTTTAACTAACAATCCGTGTGCGACATCGTATGGAGTAAACTCCCTCCAGTGATTAGGAACGACTACCTATATTAAGTTAGGAAGTTATAATCTGGAGTTTAGCTGACAATTATGAATTATTAAAATAATAATACGAGTATATAGTACGATAATGAGACTACTAAGTACTTAATAAAATATGTATGTCTTAGATGTTATACAAAATATGTTTGGTTGCGTAAATCGTGCATACTCTTAGTTTGTAGTTCGGACTGTTCGGAGTATATTTTTAACATATTCATACAGATAACATTTTAACTAGACAGGAAGGTGCATACCTATAATCTAAAAATAATAGGTTAACAAATAGGTAACACATGGATTTAGTTGAAAATTGTTAGGTAATGGTTTTCGATCGACATAAAATCTCCATTGACTATCACAGATCACAGTAGCATAACAATTTACCGATCATAAAATGTACATAATATTATATACCTACCTACCTTAAGTGATCTATATCTCGACGAAACGATAATATAATATACCTATATATGGTATGAATTTCAGTACTAATTATGCTTAATTTTACTGTTGATACAATAATATCTTATTATATAATTTACCAGCTGTTCCTGCCCGACGTTGTCGGGCCAATAATTTTTATTTTTAAAAATGTATTTGTAAAAATAGGTATATGCCATATTTCTTCTAACTTTAATAACAATATATTGAAAAAATATGATGTAAACAATTAACACCCTCAAAGTCACAAGGAATCTATTAAAAACAGTCTAGTAGTTTTGATATAAATCGAAGGTGGTTCAAACTACACTCTGAATTTTCCTGATATCTCCAAGAATGATTTGAAATTTATACAAAATCAGTTTTTAGTTTTTGAGTACCTATATAAGCTACAAATACACATTCAACTTTCATATTTGTCTTAAGAAGTAATTTCTTTATTCGAAACCATAAATTCGATGATTTGATGCATGCTTTAACCTTGTCTGCTTAAGTAACCAATGGCAACAAATACAAATTTATCCTATACTTTTACTATCTATAAGTTGTAAACAATAGCAACTAATTATAAACACTAATGTCCATCGTAAAATCTCAAAATTGTCTCTTAAATTTGCAATAAAAAAATAATTAAAAGCCACTAATTGAGATAACAACTATAGGTACTATCTCTGAAGTTGGACCAAACAAGAGACATTTAGGACATTTCATTAAAATCTGTTACCTAAGTAGTTTTCAAGATGAGCGTTATCGAACATCGTGACACGAGAAATATATAATATATAAAAATTTAAGATACTATAAAGATTATATGTTTACTGTCTTAATAATTTATTATAGTCATTAGACAATAATTTTCTGTCAATTATTATATTATTGAACTTTTTTTATAAGTGTAATACCTTTTATAGGTATGTACGGGAGCCTGCTACTACCTCCTCGTTGTTTTTGATCATCACGCTTACGGTTTACACACAATCATAGGCTTATTAATTAATTAACTAATAGAATATTATGTGCATAGACAATATTTCGTTTAATCTCAAGTATCGGCAGTATAGGTTTGCAAATAAATGTTGCACATAAAACGCACACGGTATCCTAGTAGGGACCCTATACGCTATTAAATTAGATATTGTAAATTTGTAACGTTTGAAGTCGCTAGAAATTGTGTGGAAATCTGCAAATACATTTACAAATACTCAATACTCATACACATATAATGATTTATATTATTTTATACCTAGGTACTAATATAATATTATTGGTTGTCAAAAAAGTTCAAAATACTATATTATTATTATAAATCACTATTTCACTATGAATTATTTTTAACACAAGTAACATACATATTATTATGAATGTATGATATTGTACCTCCAATTTATTACATTATATACAATATCATAATCCGTTAATTGTTGTGTATTAAACTGAAAATTTTCGTATAATATAATAATAAATTATGCTACAAAAGGACAATATATCAATAAGATCCAACAATATAACGTCTGTATCAAATATTCAGATCTGGTGGTTGTGGTCGACGGCAACGGGCGCTTCGACGGGTTGATCGATTATTTTGACTTTCTGATATTTCTCTGCGAACAATATCGTAAGGCATGAATTTTGTGCTTGGCATGCAAATTGCATAATATATTATTTTATACGCTTCTGTAGACGTATTCGTGAAACCAGTATTATAATCAGTTGCTGGTTTATAACAGAACTAAAAATTCAAAACTAAGGTTTAGGTATCTACATTAAATATTTCGTAGGTAACTTTAAATTTTTATTTTTAAATTGTTCATCTTCTGTTCGGCTCTATTGTTCATTTCTAATATAATGCTGTAAAATTTCAAATACTCAATCTTGAATTATTTATAAACGATCAAAATAATTTCTATTTTCCAAAAAAAAAAAAAAATATAGTTGCAAACAAAACTTTCATCTATGAATCAAAAAAAAAAAAAATTGGAAATATATATTTATACTAATATACATTACTATACCAAAACTACGATAAGGACGCTTCAAGATGCGTGGTATTTAAATAGAATATTTAAAATTATTTTTTAACTCAATCATTTTATTATCAGACTATTTCGTGATTTTTGTTGTTGAAAATTAAATTAATATAATTATATGTAAGTAAATACTTTTTCGACCCACCTTAAAAACCTCTGAGACTATAATTTAGGCCGTGGTCAGAGGTTGGCAAGGTAAAGAGTAAACCATACAAGGAACATATATAATAGTCAATATATCATATAGTTGCATATAATATAATAAATCTATATTATTTGATATACTATGTTCCTTTAGCAAGACTCGTAGCGTTTCGGCAGAATTTATTAATTTAACTAACTTTATTATCGCTACATCTCTCAATTCCTATTACTAAATATACTAAAAAAAAAAATTTGTCGAAGCGGTTAAAATGATTTCTAATGAAGACAAATATTCGCGTCATCCCTCATGCGTACGTCTATAGATCAGGAGTTGCGTTGTGTAGGTACTGTACTACTGTTTTCATTGTTTATAATACCTAATAAGAACGTAATAACTAATAACTGATAAGTATATCGTATATGTACTAATACTAAAACTTCCCCCCGTATAATATTATGTTCAGATCAATAAAATGTTTTCTTATCTTTACGTATGAATATTTTTTACTATAATTACGAATCAGTTATTAGTACCTACTATATCGGACGGTTGGGTCAATAAAATAAAATATTTATGCTTAGAAACATTATGTTTACAAAAAATTGTTATAAGTATAATTTCAAAAAGATGAGTGAAAAATTATAATAAGTGAGGACAAATATGGTGGAATCCACATTGTATTGTATTAAATATAACAATAACCTAGTAACCTAAACCTACTAATAAAATATACTTATTAATTTTTTTATAGAGATTTACGCTCGGAAGACTCGACTTACTGGCCATCTTGAGCATTATCACACCCCACCATATGCTCCATCCCCAGCCGACTAAACAGAAAAGCACCGTGAACAGCTGAGCAGCGGCCACGACGAAGTTCACGCAGAACGCGCCTACCCTGGACTGGAAGGTGTCGTTGACCGTGAATCTTGGCTTGCCGACGCACAAACACAGCATCCCGCTGGAGAACGTGCCTATATACCACATAAACAACACAGATAATATTTATCAAGTTTATAATATTGCGCGTAGTAAATAGGTACCTACGTTCGAAATGTAGCAATTCTAAATAGTCGTGGGATTGGAGTTAATATGTAAATATTTTTTTTTTTTTTTGAAAATGGAAAACCTATTACCTATGATTCTTAAACTAAGTTGTCTTCATATCCTATGGATGTCACAATAATATACATGAATCTTACGGGAAATAATTATTTCATAAAAATATAAAACTAAAGTTATTGACCTAAAATAAAAAGATACTTCAGAAATTGAATAAAGTTACTTAATTAATTGTTGGTACCTTTTGACTATTTACCTATTTGTATTTTATATAGAATTGTTTAAATGTTTGAAAAACATATGATTTTAAAAATAAGAAAATTCAGTAGCTATTGTTTCGTATCATTCAAAAGTTCAAAATGTTTATGATTAATTGTAATCTTGATACCTACCTATGTGTGTAAAATAGTTTTTAGTTTATATTATTTTAATATATATTGTGGTCATGTGGGTACGCAATTCTAAAGTCTATCCTAATGTAATAATTTTATAACTGTCTTATAAACATTAAACTAAGATAATTAATCATTAATTTTATTATTTTACTTACAAAAATGAATATTGTGTATAATTGTGTGTAATTATAATTTAATCAAATCGATAATATTATTAGATGTAAAATAATTTATTTACCTAGTTCATAAAATAGTTTACAATAGTCTAAAGTCCATTCTAATATAATAATTTTAATACCGACTTATAAACGTAAGACTAATATAATACCTATGTGGCTACTGGCTATGTATTTTAGTTTTACCAACAAAAATGTATAATATAATCTTTTAAAGTACGTAACTATATTTTAATTTCGTTTTTCCCTCACTATACCTATGTTTTCAATAATTATAAAAAAATAACATACATTTTAATTTTCATATAGGTAATCATGCACCTACTGCATGTCATACCTACCTATTATTTTTGTAAGCATTTAAGCACAACCATTTAATAAAATGTATTAGTTTTACAGAATAAAACTGAATAGGTGTGTATAGTCATAATAATCACTGTTTTAAAAATGTAACACTGTTTAACAATATAGATACATGCTTTTTATAATAAGATAATACTTATATTTATAATATTATTAACATTAAAATTATTATTCTTGCACTGCATAATATGCTTGAAAATGTATTATAATAGTTGAATAAGTCTTCGATGCTTATTAGTTATAATTACTTATTACATATTAGTTATTAGTATGCCTACGTATTAACTATTTCTCCAGTTTTTATTTTTATTTATGGATGTATATTGATAATGTATTACAATAATAAAGTAGATTTTGATATAATTAAATTTAATCTGGTTTTAGTTTGTTCTTTCTCCTTTTCCATAATCTCATACGTACCTATCTCTTCTCTTAATGTCTCTGGACATGTCATTGTACTATTATTATAATTATATTATAGTAGTGTGCAGTAATAACCCATTTAATCAATCACCTCTCATGGTAGACCTTAAATAGATTTAAATACTTTTTTTAAAAATTCTGAGAGAACGATGAATGTTTTGATTTTATAATGGTGGTTTTTTTTCTATTTTTGTGTCCGTTATCACATTTTATCATTTTCTATAAATGGTATACCTAATTTTCGAAATATTTTGACCATTTTTGAACTAATATAGACATTTGATATTTGATATTTTTTTTTCTCTAAATGTCGATATCACATTTTTCGAAATTCATTATACATTTTCGTACACCAATTAAAAATTATTTTAAATATAATATGGGTAGTAACAATATTTTTTTATAAGCATTTAAAGGTGGAGTTTTGACAACATTCATCAAAATCACTTACATTTTCAAATTATTTTTTAGTTAAAATTCAAAAAAATGTTTATGACGTTACAAATACACATATAAGATATAACTATGGTATTAAATAAAACACATATATTGATACTATACCAACAATAGGTGGAGTGCACGGGTGGATCATTGTGCCCCCTACCCCATAAATAGACCAATGCTAATGAACACAATATAGCAGAGGTATTCAAACTTTTTCATCCCACGGCTCCTTTAAGTCTTTACAAAATGTTGACGGCTCCCAAATTATAAATGACAAAAAAATCAATGTTTATATGATTGTAATTTATATTTTATAATTTATTTACCATATTACATACATAAAATAAATTAAAGCTATAACTAGCGAATGATTGTGGTAAACAATTCAACGTTTCCCCACCGGTGTGCCTCAATGATATTAGTAAACGTTTTTCGTACAAATATTTATTGGTTTTCAATTATACTACGCGGCTCCCTTCGAAAACTCCCGCGACGCACAGTTTGAATACCTCTGCAATATAGTGTGTATATTATATCATTTATATCTTAAAATGTAAAAAGATGATTAATGTGCACTTCTAACAAAAAATATAAGGAGGTGAAAATGCACTTGCACAATTTAATTTTATTAGCACGGTGTAACCTATCTAAAATATCTTACATATTATTATATAGGTACTCAAATTATTTTTATCTTCAACAATTATTGTTGTATCATCTCACATTCACACTTATAGTACTCTTAAGTTTTAATTATACCGACCAGAAACCATTCGATAACATTGAAATAAATAATACCTGCTCCCGGAATAATGACGTTGAACACTAAACACAACCATGCCAGTGTTACTGGTAGTACTGGTATAGCACCTTTCATAACGGACGAATGATCGACGAAAACTGCATCCAATTTAGGTATATTCTAGTGCAAAAAACAAATACAATACATTATATATTACTATACTAGATACATGTACAGTGTAGATTGATTACAAAGGTTTAAGGAAAGTAAAAAAAGTGAAGTCTACAACACACGCAAAGTGTACATTTACCTAATAAGAAAATAAAATACTATAAACTAGGTTAAACGTCTTTATTAAAATGTAGAATGTGTGTTGGGATTCATTGAACTTCATATAAGTTCTAGAAATGAGCTGTCACATTTTTAATAAGTTCAAAATAATTAGATGAATTATCACCTAAATCTGAAGTATATATAAGAGGTACTTTTATTAAATGTTTAAAAATAATTTAATTCACATTTTATTCGGAATCTATACATTGCTGTGTGCATGTTAACTATAAATAAGCAACTTAATATTTTTATTTTAATGAATTTAAAAAGTAAAGTACAATTATTACACATTTCATAAGCACCTACCTAGGTAAGTAGGTACTACTCTTTTACATAAGTTAAAATAAAGTTAACAGTAAATTAAAATACATTATAATACCTAACACTATTATTTCAGGCGTTGTAGTTTACCAAATCAATCTGAACAAAAAAGGAAATCATGCCAAGTTAAATTTACAACAATATTAATAAATGTAAATGACACAACAATTCTGAAGATATTATTGTATTAACCTACAAAAATCAGTTATAAATGATTTACATTTTTTTTTTTTGCAAATTGTATTTTATACATTATAGTATTTTACCATTGGTTATAATATATTATTAATAGTATATATGTATATTTAATGATTATACCCACTTATTATAATTTATGGATACAAATGATAAATGATTGGTAAATCATAAATATATTATACCTAGAGGCTACAATCTCGAGCTCTGCTCTACAAAATCGATATTGGTACTTGATAACAAGAGTCAAGACTCGAGAATTAATTTAATACGAATAAATGATAATTTAATTATATTATGGTAATAGTAGGGGAGGTAGATGCAAGTGTTCCTATTTATTTGATGTATTTTAAATGGTATGTCAATCATATTTTTAATGTCCTAGGTAGATTTTCGCTGTTGTATTATATACGTAGGTGCCCAAGACCTAAACAGTATGATATTTGATATTATGTCAGTTTTAATGATAGGGGTGTTGTCTAACTATAATAAGTTATAGCTAATGTAGTAGTAGTGTAAAGTATGTGGGTGTTAACTATAAAGTATGTGGGTATTAAGGTTTATATAAACAACTGGTCGACGACCGACGTCCTTTCGACATTTATTTTAACGCGTGTCCAAAAAGGTTGAGTTTCCTAATAATCACCGAGTCGTGAGGGTTTATTTGGTAAATTAATCATATTTTATAGTTTATATTTATAGACATAATATACACACTCATACTTCTATAAGATATTTATATATTCTACAGTATTAAGGCTATAAATCAATGTTGTTTCAAAATATGCATAATTTTACAGTAACCTTTATGGCTTTATAATATTAATCATACAACCATTTATAGAGTTTGTACATTATTATGGTAAACAATATTATTACCATTTGGGAATAAATAAGTGTATACAATATACATGCGATTACACGATTATTTTATAAAAAATTACTATAACCGTACAACATTGGAATATAATTAGGTATGTATATCATATATTCATATTGTCATATTGATATATTATATTATGTGTGTTAAACAGGAATCGTAACATTCAATACAATTCGTTATATTAGTCTCCGCTTTATATTAGTATTATATTTGTTAAAAACTTACTATTCCCAATACATTTTTTGGTTACAAATTTAAGGGGAGTGGTGGTATATTATTATTTTTTCCTGAGACCCACACGATATATGATTCATTGGAAGATACGGTTTTAAAATGTATTTACTCAATGCAAGACCATAGGTATAACATAATATAATGGATTGACGTATCAACAAAGATGTTATGCATGTGATGCGATATGCTTGAATGTATTATTACTATTGGCTCAATAAGGTACAGTTAATATAATGTCTAGGTATACACTCGTATTATATAAATATGCAATTTTATACTAATACAGTGGTGGGCTAACGGGTGGGGGATGACTGAATGAGGAGATAGATCATCCTCATGAATTTTTATTAAAAGCGTGATTTTTTGCACAAAACACGGTTTACAGGAAAAATTCTAAAGCATCATAGGGTGGTCAGATTTGATACATTTTTTTTTAATTAGAGGATAATTTTCTACTGGGTGCATTGAACTTCGATTTTCAGTTTTGTAGCTTAAATCAAACATGATCAAAATAACAAAAGCATGTGAAAATTGGTCCTTTTCAAAATCCTATCAATATGATTAGAAATCTAACTTCGAAAATCCAATTAAAATGCGGACTGTAAGAAGTGTTAGTTAATATTTCAAAAAAAAAAAAAAAAAATTATCGAAATTGAACCTTTAAACGAGGCTTGACAGTTTTTCCTGTAAGCCATGTTTTTGAGCAAAAAAAAACAAGTCAAATGCAGGCACTTTCTGGAAGGACAAACATATACGTATATTATTTACCTTCAGAAGACTTACCATTTTTTCACAATGTACAGAAGATAATTTGATCTGTGCCGTATAATTTTTATAGTTTTTAGATCCATATCAACTCACTAGTTTGTGATATACAAATTAAAAAAAAACGAATGAAATTAATCTGTTCAGATTGCTTTAAGCTTAAAAAACAAAAAACCGATCGGCCATAAATCTTCTCCATATGTATTGTGAACATTTTGTAAAGTTACTGATAAGTTTGTCCCCCCTCCCCCAGTATCAAATTCATGGATAAATAACGAGGGGTGTGGGAAAGTTTTTTTACTTATTAATACTCTTGAAATACATAAAAAAATGTCTATTAAAAACCAAAAAAAAATTTTTTTTTTTTTTTTAATTGTTTCATTCCACCCTAGTGTGGGCGTATGGTGTCTTTTCTCAAGTCATTTACACTTTATAGTATACTTTAATTACCACCATGAAAATTATTGAATCAATTATTCATGCGGAAAAAACCTGGACTGTATACTAGATACATCAATTACTTGTAGGTACCTGATTATAAAAGTGATAATTTTCAATTGTAGGTTACATTATGAGTAGGTTTATATACCTGCTTATAATGTGGCTACGTCTCGATCGATAGGTCATACTCTAAATCTTGCTTTTCAATTTTCATGCAAGTTGAGGACGGCCAATTTGCCTGCTGATTAACTTATAAGTACCTACAGAACTAGATTAAGTAATGATATTTGATAATTATTCTGCAACTGTATGGAGAATGTTTATTTTAAAAAGCGTATATAATATATAGTGGAGTCGAATTTTTCAAGCTTTTATATCATCATTTTTTGATTATTTTGGTTTCCATTTAAAATTATAGACAATAAATGATAAGCATTTAAAAGTTGTACAACATAATATAGGCATAATTTGACATATTAAGAGTCACGGAATTCCCAAAAAATTGTTGAAATTACTTACAGTTGTCAGTTTGCGTTGTTAGAAAAATGCACATACAATATTATACTCTAAAAATATTCACTTTCCTTTGGAGAGACATTATATAGTTTTTTGTTTTAATATTAATTAATAACAATTATTTATATTTATAATCAGTCTATTTACCTCGCTTAACTTACAGACAATAATTGTCCCGTTGGTTTTAAAAGCATTCGCACGGAGTTTTGTAACTATACGTCTTTTTTGACGTGACACTGGATGTTTGCCTCTAGGCATGTCGAAAAAAGTAGCAAATAAATTCAAACAATTTTGGAACACGCACTTATCAATGGCTTATATATACTATTATATGTATAGCGGTGCGTATCGACGGGCGTATTAGTTGGAACTAACAATGATCAGAAACTCTGTGGTGCTGAAGTAACATGAAACTAATGTGACAAAATACCTACAGTTAATAGAAATATAACATCCGACCACCTTTAATGTGTATAGAAATAATAGAATCACTTTACTTCTATTAGATATTAACCATAATTAACAGTATTTAACTATATCGAATATCTTAACCACTTTTGTTAAATTACCTACCTATAATATGAATACATGATATAGATAGCTACATATATAATACATACATATATTGTCTTATATTACATCAATTAAACAAACTTTTGGTTCCGCTAACGATATGAGTGCATAGACGTAAACTAAAAAATTGAAAATCTATATGAACATAAACATATTATATGACATACATATTTTAACACAGATATATTTTAGATTCTTAGCGACGAATATACCAGCCTATTGATTTTCCAATGATGAGTTGTTTTTTTTTGGAGGGGGTAAAAAGTTTCCAGTTTTTTGAAAATAATCGAAAAAAAATTTTAGCGAATTTAGAAATTATGTTGTAGTTGTAAATTCATAACATTTTTAATATTCATACCAAAGATTTTCAAATTAACACATGGTTTTATGTTATAAGTTTCTCTCACAAGAATTATAAAAAAAAGTTCAGCGAAATTTAACAATATTTTGTAAAAGTATCTTAAGTTTAAATTTTGACAAAATTGGATATTCATGAGGTACCTAATAAATAAAAAATTCGCAACAAATGATTTTAGATCTTTTGTTGTTATTCAAAAAGTATTAATCGTTGAAACTTAAAACATTTCAATGATGCTTAAATTATCATGTTCTATACTCGATTCAAATTTAAAAACATTTAGACTCAATTACAGATATTTACATGCTTTTTAATAAATTTTTATTTTTGAATTTTTGATAAAAATCATTCATAGGCCCAGTAAAAAAACTTGAAAATGTAGTACAAGATCCCGCGCAAATGTTCTGTTAGAAACATAAAAGTTTTTCAAATTAATGGGCGAGATTTTATATTCTGAGAGCTCCGCTGTATGTATTGATTTTACAATAATGTGTATTTCTTATTTATTTATTTATTTTTGTGTCTGTCATCACGGTTTGGGGGCAGTAAAGTGCTTCAATTTTCTTCAACAGCAACTTTCTTGGTACGAAAGTAAATCTAGTTGGTGCACTCGGGAGGTCAAAATTTAAAATTCCCAATAGTTTTCAATAGCAACAGGATAAACAAACAAAAAATTAAGGAAACACGGGCATTTTTTTAAATCCATTTTTGTTTTTATTGTAACTTTAAGAAATGACCATAGATACATGACATTTTCACTCAATATTTGTGATAGCATTTTCTAAACGCCATAAAATTTTCAAAATATTTTAACTCATATTGAACTATTTATAGGCGTATGAAATGTTCGACTATTATTAGTATTTTTCGATTGATGTCTATAAAAAAATGCAAACTCAGTAAAAAAAACTTGAAAATTTAAAACAAGCCTACGTAAGTATTTAATTCTGTAACCAAAAAATCTAAAAATGAACATAAACATAGCTTTTTTATAGTTATTTTAAGTTCAAATTTAGACGAAATTACATATTAACACAATCAATAGTGATTTTAGTAATTTTGTTGTAATTCGGTTCCAAAACAGCCCAATTTTACATAAGTATGTATAATATTTTCCCAGAAATACTGATAATTTAAGAATGATATTATGAATAATATTAATTCAACTTACTGGCTACCTTATTAATAATAAATAACAATATAAAATATCCTAGCCTCCGCTCAGAATAGTTGTTCGTATACAATGATATGATATCATTGCATTCAAATTTAATACTGTACATTACAGGGACCTTCTAGACTCCTAATGTACAGCAGAGCGACATCAACTTACCCACTTCTTTTATGATAGTTTAAAGTTAAAATGTTGACAAAATTAGACATTTAAACAAAGAATTACGATTCTAGTTATTTTAATGTAGCTGGTAATTTAAAAAAAGTTAGTAGGGACTTGAACATTTTACGTACCTACCAATATTGTTATCTTTTAAATACCTACAGAATAATATTTTCAAAATATTTAGATTAATTTTAAACTATTGTATATACCTTGAACCTATTCTCGCTGTTGTACACTTGTTCGGTGGATAGAAGTTTAAGTTTAACTTGAAGTAATAAAGGAAACAAGTAAGCTGTTCGTGTTTTTAAATCACATTTGTTCTGGACACGACACAATAAATGAAAAAAGAATCAAATTAGTATTTTATTATTATTATGTCATCAACTGCCATACAGACGCTAAAGGGTCGTAAAAAATAGGCTCTTAACATAAAGAAAAAAGTCTTTTAAATAGTAAAAATGTAATAATAGTTTATAATTATTATGCTTTAAAAACTTTTGTTATTTGAATGATCACTTCATGAAATTAGAACGCTATAATATATAACTTGCATGTAACTACGTATTGAGCATATACGTGTGCAGCGATAGTACTGTACATTATTAGTGTAATTATTTAAATATCAATAGTAGTACAACTAGTACCTACAGTAATCGTCTAAACTTTAAATAGAAAACTTTAACATTAAACCTATACGTTTCCTTTGGAAAAAAGACCCCACGTGATGGATATAACGGATTCACTACTAAACTTATTTAGGTATGAAAAAAATGAGGGCAAAATAAATTTGTATCTATAGTTTTACAAAAATAAAATATCACAAATTTAATATGATACATGTGTACTTTATGGTCGAAGAATTCGGGGTCAGGTTGTCAGCAGAATTCTACTTTGTGTGTGTGGGTGTGTGGGGGGGGGGGGGGGGCGTAAACCAATTCAATCTGAAAATTATTATAGTTTTAAATTTATTATTATAAAATATATATTTGTTTTTATGAATATGTTTTAAGAGAGTGTCACACCTACATGTGTTGTTTTTGTGTTGTAAATAATATACAACATAACAAATTTGCGTTCAGCCGTTTCAATTTTGTATTGCAACCTTTAATTGTATTAGAGTAAAGCGGTCCATCATCAATCCTATAAATTTAAGAACATTATCTGTGTTGTCTTTTTGGATTTTCACACCATTTACATTTGTAGCCAATTTATACGAATATTTTAAAATGTAAGTATTTTACGTACCTACTAAAAAATAAATATAGTAGGCACTCAATTGAAAATTAAAATATCATAAAAAAACCAACGAGAAAACACAGTCAATTGTCTAACCTTTAAGTTTGTTTATTAATAAAGCCAACCGTTAAACTAAATTTATTATATGTTATAGTGTTATACGTTAGTTAGGTGGAAACACTATACGAATCATACGTACTAACTACCAAGTCCCCTCAAGAGGTTATGGATAGATAGTTTTTAACCGCATATTATTAATTATAACACAAAGTATAATACAAATATAAATAAGTTACTCTATTAGTTATTTACATATTTGTCGATATGGTTATTGATTATATTTATAAAACTTTATTTTTGCGGAGCCACTGACGCGTCAGTTTCATAAAATCCATGTTTCTACGGTGAAATTGGACCTCATGACGTGTCATCACAGCGTACGGTGTATAAGACGACTAAGACGAGCATGCAACGCGTTAAGAGGACGCCACATCCGCTTGTGATGTCTGTCTTACAAACTTACAACATGGCAAATTTTACATTCACATTAATGACTACAATCATAATAATTTCTAAAATTAGAGTGAAATTATTAACTCTTATGAAATTTATAGGTGAGATCATTATCTAGGGCATCTCACGGGCTTTTTATTATATTTTAATTTCAAAGCGAGTTATGACTATTTTAAGATGCACCAAAAATTTACAATTTTAAAATACTCACAATACACATTAAAATTAAAATATAATAAAAAGCCTATGAGATGGTCTAGATAATAATCTTGCCTTTAAATTTAATGAGAGTTAATTTCAGAAATTATTGTGACTATAGTCATTATTGTGGAAGTAAAATTTGACATGTTGTACGTTTGCAAGACAGAGACAACACATGCAAATGTGGCGTCCTCTTAACACTTCTCCGGTATTGAGTGTTGTAACAATATTACCCTCTCAACAATACTGTAATACATAATGACGTGCTTACTGTGCAGCAACCGGTACATTTGAACAGGGACCGCTTCTGCGAATCGGCTGACTTGCTTTTCGGGGTGGCGGACTTGCCGCGGCAACAGCAGCAAATCCGCTTGACAAACTTGGGAACGGCACACCAGCCGCAACACCAACCACAGCAGCAGCAGCAGCGACGCATTCGCCTTTTCAACTTGCCGCACAACGTGTCGGCAGCCATGGTCGGCGGAGCGATGCCGAGGGCACCGACCGAATGGTCGGATGACGACGCTGCTATAGCGAGTTTCTTTTTGTTTATCGCCGTCCGCTTGCCACGGCAACAGCACATCTTGTCACCGCACCTCCGCCACCATTGCAGACGTCGTCGGCCACCGGATGCAGCCTCTGCAGTGGAGGCCATCACGGAGGCCGATCGTTTCCGGCCACAACACTGGCCGCACGGCCGCGGCCGCCTTTTCCACACCGCCGCCCAGCACTTCGACATACGGCCATCGGTGACGGTGGGTGGAGATACGTGGCCGAGGGTCGGCCGACGTCCACCACGGCCGCCGTCGTTGCCGCCACCGCACAGCTTCCGCGCATACCTTTTGTAGGCCGGATCTTTGGTGGCCGGTTCGGCCGACCGCGGGGCTTCCGCCGGCACGATGATCTTTTCGGATGGCCTGCAGGGGAAAAACGGAGCAAAGTCATCATATATAATGTATATAAACCATAAACGTATAATATACACCGATATAGCATAACATTTTATTAAAAAATGTATTATATTTATGACCATAAAAATATAAATTGGGTTCAATTTATTACTTCTGTTTTTTTTTTTAGTTTTAAAGTTTTTTTTTTCATAAAAAAATAAATCGTCAATTATCTGTACCCATATATTATTTGTAGGTAGGTAGGTAACTTACCTACTACCTACTGGCTGCTTCATGCAACACGATTCCTTTTTTAAATCGTTTTTTTGTTTGTTTTTTTAATCCACAGCTATTGGTAAACGCCCGTCATATAATGGCTTACCAATCTAATATAGTAATATATTATCCATAGCATGGCTATATATACATTATACTATAATAATTATAGTATTACGAGCGACTTTTCGGTCTTTTCGGCTATTACCGAAACCCCAACATCACGCAAAGTTTTACTCACTTTCATTTGGAAACGGGTGATATGAGCTATAAATATATTTATAGTATACATTGCATGGATACGCAAAATAAACGTCAATTTGCTAATGGACCTCAAATAAAATCGGCCAACTCCCTCAAATGTTGTTAAAATATTATATGTATAGAGATACGGTTATTAGAATAGTGCTATAGCATTTAGGAGTTCGTGATGGTTGCGTTTATATTTATGAAAAACTCAAAGAGTCAAAACAGTTAGATCGCCCGTCTAAGAAAATCCTGGACATGAGATAAATAAAAAAGATACATCGTATTGGAAATAAGCTGCACACTACCATTAATTGAACGGACATTATAATAATATACTAATATAATACATAGGTAATATCTATTACTTTTTTTTTAAGTTATAGGATATGAATTTCAAATGTATAACAGACAACAATTAAAAATGTAATACCTAAGTACATCCAAATTACAAACTTACTGACTGAGACGTAGTGCTAAAAAACGTGAAGTTATAGGATTATAATATTTGTACATTTTTTTCAGATTCATTAAAACCATAATTTTAAGTTAAAACACATTGACATTCTGTTTTAAATAACTTTGTGAAAAATGAAAATTTGTTTTTATTTTTACAAAATAAATTGATTAGGTTCAGGACTTGTATATATCATATAATATGCATGAATGTGAGATATAAAGCATTATAATATACTTATGTATATAATATAAGGGTTGTATATTTATATGGTTTTGAACAGCGTTAAGCTTAAAAAGTGTTATAATTAATAAAACGCGACCAGATTTTATCTACTGCAGGTATACACAATGAATTATAGAAAAATAACTGAACTGAAAAATATTTCGCAGTCCAAAAATGTATTATAATTAAATAAAATACAAGTTGTGGATGTATTTTTATAATAAAAATATAAAAAAAACATGTTTTAAATGGCAGTTTTGAAGCATTATGTAAATTTTACCTTTTCCACGTTGGTTATACACGGTACACCGAGCACGTAATAAGTTTAACCACCTATACATATTGGGTCAATATTCTAAAGTAAGAACCGCGGACAAAATACTAATTATTATATTGATATTGTGGTGTCGTTAATATTTAAAATCACTAAAAAACGTATACTACGGTTTTATGAACACTGAAATATGTATAGTTCATACAATAAACACCTATAGGCTATATAGTCGTAAAAAGTTTATGAATAGTGTTTTGAACTCTTGAATCTATACACTTGCAGCGAGCGGGTAAAAAGGTAAGCCCCGTCAGCTTGTAGTTCCCACCTACATTCGTGAAATATATGTTTCATATTATATTCTTAATGAATATACACAATACACATGTCAATATGCATATTATATACAGGTACAAATTGATTCATCCCCCATTTTTGCCTTTTATAATAAATTTATACGAATTATTATTTTTTGGGATTCTTAATTACACGCACTACCTACTTACACGGAGAATGTATTTTAAGATACTTTGATTTCCTACACCATTTACCCGTAGTAATATGTACTAACTTCTTTTTTTCAAATTGAAGTCTTCCTATTTTTCTGAATATTATTAATTTGATGATTTTTTTGAAAACTAAATTCATGATCGATGTAACTAAATCGAAGTTCCAGCGGATAATATTTGAGTTGTTTATTTTTGTGTATCTAAGGATAAAATGTCCGTGGTAATATAGGTTTGGAAGACATGGTGACTAATGGCTATGACGATTAGAAAATTAAAGAAACTAATATTAATCTAGCCATCTAGGTATCAACATTTTATTATTTGTAAAAAATGTCTGAGTAACTGAGTATGATAAATACTAGATTGTGAGTAGATCCAATATTATCCAAATCTATTTTATATGGTTGCAAAACCATTTTTAAGGACTATTGTCTTATGGGATATATGACATATGTGAATACATTTTAATAAATCAGAATCTTCTCATTAAAATTTTGATCGACATTTTCAAAGAAAAACATCTGCTTAACAATTTGCAGTAAAAAATCTTTGTCATTTGAAAAAAGAAGTTTGTATAGGACACATATTTTAAATGGTATACAAATCTAAGTAGGTAATTTAAAATATGGTCGTATACTATATACTATAATGGTCTATGGTCCACTATACTTACTCTATTTTTCTAATCAGTACATTTATTATTAAAGTAAAAATAAGGATGATTACTGCATGCTTGAAGAACAGTGGATCATCCTGTATATAAAAGTACAATATGTACTAGGTAGGTACCTAGTAAAATTATCGTTATTTTATACACGCCCTCTAGTTATAATTCTATATCTATAAAAAGTGTTCAGACTTTTGATAACACATAATTATACTCACATAATAATAGTAGGTACTCATTAACATTTTAACACGTTATAAGTTATTACTAACCGACGGCCACTCGAAACTGCTGCAATAAACTACCTAATAATTGATTGACTTATTACGACCGTCTGGTGCATCTGTGAAATATCAACAATTGCCGGTGGAAATAATCGAATTAGATTTGTGTTATTTTTTTTTATCAATGAATCATAAATGTGAATACACCTATAATTAGATTGATATTTTACATGATACCTGTAGGCTGTGAGTATATATTGTATAATATACCTATCAATTGGCTATCATGTTCGTGTGGTGTTATTATCGTATTGGGTTACGAATATAATTTGTTTTCCTAAATTACGAGATGGCGAAAAACTGTTCTTATAGGAAATTTGCACCTTTATTCCTGATTCAAGGAGGGTTATTATATTATGCTTGTGATGGGCAAGTGCCGATTAAATTCGCTGATATAACAGATTAATGTACGATAATATTCACGTCGCGTGCTTGGAATTCAATTGTATCGCGTGAATGCGAAGACGGGTAAAATCGCCCGATTTATACACACTAGTACTGAAATACACAACATATCTATATGGCTATATACATAATACATTTATGTGACGTCAAAGTTGTTGATGTTTGTGAAGAAAATTGTTCACATTTAACATCAATTTTGACGTTGACGTTGATAAAGTGGTAAACATACATTTCTATAATCAAATTAATTTTAAAAGTGAATACTTTTGAATTTTGCCAAGCAATATTGAAGCAGCTAAGTGGTCTATATATTTTATTGTGTGAAAAATATTTTGTAAAATATAGAATTTATTAGGGTATCTACTTGGCGTTTCATGCCACCGTTATAATATTTTAAAGACGAGTTTCAACAAATGATTTAAATACGTATATAATATACAGTAAATAACTATATGATGAACAAATAGTTAAGTAATAAGTGTATACATATTATATACATTTAAAATAAATATAAGTTGATGAAGGACATTAATAATAAAAGAAGTTTCAGAGTTGAAGTTTTCATTCAAATTTTTCATTATTGTAAGACGTCTGTAGACTATGGAACATTATATAGTTACTCATAGTGGCTAGTTTATTAATTTATCAAATTAGTTAATTTCTAAGATTTATTAGGGAATGTTCCATAAGACAGAATCACATTAATTATTGTGTCTTTACTTTTTATTAGGTATTTATGGAGCAATATAACAGCCCTACAAACTATATAGATATATTGTACACAGTAATACTTGTTTATTTTTTTAAATTATGCTTTCCTTCGTATAGTGTGAACTTCAGAAAAAATATAATTAGTTAAAATAAATAGAAAAATCTAAAAAAATCTATACACTAGGTTATATGGGCATATCATCAAATCAGCTTACATTTTAAATACCTAGGATTCTTAGAATTCTTAAAATCAACTAACATTTTTTCAAGCCAGAAGGTAAGGTAAATGTCAAAATTCACAAGCATATTACAAAGAAGATATGAATGCTACTTATAAATTATAAACCTGAACTACAGATTACCGATAGCACCATAAATAAAATAATATCACAATATATTATAGTTATACAAAATTATATTATAATAGATATGATAATAAATTAGCGAAAATTATAGGTACTATCAACTGGATAACTTAAACATAATAATATCCGACATCAAGCTGGAATTTTTTTCAAATAGTTACAACTCTAGTTTTAGAAAATAATAGATGGATTGAAATACAATAATGGACATATTTTTTCTCAAAATTTGCTCGTTCTCGAATAAATAAGAAATCAGAAAATACGAGTAGATACATATTAAGTATAGGTAATACTAAAACTATAAATAAGAAATATGAGTATTCTAAATGCCTATTAATAATAATTAAATATTCAAAAATTGCAAACAAACATTTTTTTGACCTAGACATAATAATTAATGTCTATCTAATTATATTTGTATGTTTAATATTAATAATATTATAAATAAGTATATGGTACACATTTATTTTAAAATGTTCGAAAATAATAATACCCCTTTCCTTCATTGTTTAAAAAATGTCTATTATTATGGGTGTAAAGTCATTATTTTTATAAAAACAAGATTTTGAATTAATATTTAAAATTAAATTAAAACGTTTCGTGGTGTTTTTATATACCTATATCTTTTTTTAGATGACCCCGAAAAAAGTTTTACCATTTGATGCAGCCAACAAGCCCTGATTTACACATGTGTACAAGCCCAGGGCCCCCATTTTTTTAGGTTCCTTTTACTTCTATATGTAGGTACCTGTCTGCAAAATAAGATACTATAGTCAATGCCATGCACGAATATTGTAGTACCTACAGCAGTGAATGTTCATTTTTGGCATTTAAATATATAAAAAACTCGCGTGCGCCCTTCTTTAACAATAGAAATACTGGACTCTTACTCATTACTGGTAATCAATCATGAAGTTATATAAAACAATTAACGTTTGAAATTGCTGAATTTAAAAAAAACCAAGAACAAAATGCGCATTACAATTAACTGCCATCGAGCCATCGTTGCGATTTTTGGATTGTACTTGTATTCGGCGATCAGTTACTACTCAGTTAACTTAAATTAATTCTATTTTTTTTTTTAACTCTCTGTTAATCTATTTAGTTAAATAGGGCTCCAAAGTAAATAGAGGACAGCGTGTCTCTTTAAATCAGGCACTGAATGCAATATATACATACATATACATATAGTATGGGTATATATCATACACTCCGATACTCGTGGGTATAATATACTGTTATGTCATAACTCATCATATCATTTCAATCGTAGTTGTCCGTTCTGAGACGTGACACACGCGTTAAGTCGCACCTGACATTCGGGAAGCCGATGGAATAGACGTCGAATCTCGCGGCGTCCGCACTGGGTCGTCCGCCGCCCATCATCGCGTACCGCACGAGACGGACGTATTTCCGCTGCGCATCCACAGCTGTATAGGTATATAATATATACACCTGTATATATATACTGTGTAGAACACACACGCACACACGCGAAACGGAGAACGACCGTTTAGCCTTCACATGCGCGCCCACGCAAAGGCGAATATATGCGATTTGACCCGAAAAAAAAGTTCACCGTCCGACCAAGAGCGTGCATAATGGCCGGTATTGTTTTATTACTGCCGTTGGTTTTTTCGAGGTGGTCAACTCCGGCGATTATTTATGATTTTTTTTATTTTCGCTCAAGAACATGGGTGGGGGGCCGGAGCAGTTGCTGCTGCCGGTGGCGCTGGAAGTGCAGATATTGATAAATTATCAAGGGCAGGGCGGAAGAATATATATAATAATGTATATATACCAGCTATATGTATACATACGGGGTCGGAGTACGGTGCGCACAGGAATAAAGACTTTCGGGGTGTGTATCGTACTTAAGGCGGTAGTGACGTGCAGGGGTTGAGAACACACACACACACACACACACACACACACACACACACACACACACACACACACACACACACACACACACTTGGGGCCTGGGAGGGCACTTGTGCCTTGCGGTCACGCCAGCACGGTAAGAAACTGCATCGCATGTTCGCGCGGCCTTAAGCACGAGATACCCTCCAGCCGCCGCCTAAGTATATACACATACCGTTTCCCTTAGTTGTGGCGGAGTGACCCAATTACTTATGTTGTGTATGTGTACCTATATAATGTTCACTCGGTGGTGGCGTGACTCGGTACAATGTAAGACCGTCGCGCGGACACGGCCACACCATTATATATCGAACGTGCGAGCGAACCGTTTTTTCATTCTTTTTCGACACCCCGAGACCTATACCCGCCCGTCGCCTCTGCCGCCGCCACCGCCAAAATGAGTCTGAGACATTATAACTATATATGTATGTTCGAGTACAATATATTATAGTACTTGCTGAATGACCCGGCTTCGCTTGTGGAAAAATAAAAAACTTGATGGATGTTATGTTAAAACACCTAGCCGAAAAAACTGGGGCGTTTAAATACACGTGCGCCCTACCCTGGCCTGGTCATTCATCAGACACCGGAAAAGAGGGCACCTGCACGGGTAAATTCGGAGCGGTATTCGGAGAAATTTCACAAAATATAATTCGTAAAAAAGTTCAATGGTGTCTTCAGAAATGTGGTACATAAAAGCCCGCTCTCTTATAATTTGAACAGAAATAAAATCAATATAATCACAGTACGCTGTACCTATATATGACATATGTATACAACCGTCAAGGTTTATTCTTCTGTATTGTCTTACACACATACAATACACACACATACAACTCATACATATATATGTATATAATATATTATGCAGCCATATATAGTTCATACATGTCATATTGTCATTGTATAAAATATATAAACATTGGAATCCGCATTGGATTCACGAATCACGAAGTTGACTCATTCGCCTACTGGTCCAGATTTACACATATATACGGACAAACACATTTAAAAACAAAAGTGGACTCGCACTATATAGTTTATACTGGTTACCGTGGTGAATGAATGCACTTTTAAGGGCATATTTTAAATTTTTTCGAACATTTTTGAAGCATACAATTTCCATGACTTCAGCCGTCACATAGAATATTTTTTATTTTTTTCACATAATTTGAAGTTCTTACAAAACAACATTTTTAACAATAATAAATATATTTTTACTATTTTTTATAGTAATCGATTGTTGTATTTTTATTACCTTTATGAATGACATAACATAGGTACATAATATGAAATATATTTAAATAAATGACAAAAATAAATGTTTTAAAGTATACATAGGCAAATTCAAATTGTTTTATTACAATGCAATATAAATATAAAATCTTTTTTTCTTAGAACCTTGCTAGCTTTTTTGACTCATTCGATTATATATAATATGGTCACAAATGCTCTAGTCCCAAAGGGAGTCTAAACATAAGCGGTGTCTACTGTATTAGCAGCTATATGTTTGGCGTGTTGAAAAGAGGTCACCGACAAAATATATTAAGTGTTTTCAGTCTGGAATTAATCTATACATATATGATATATCCTCGATTATACAGGCAAACATTTGTACAGGGCTATTTAAAAAAATTAAACTTCCTACAGAAATTTGTAAATTACAAATGTATGACGCTGCAGTACAGCCAGGAGCCCAGAAGACACAGATGCATACGAGTTGGGAAAACTACTAACTCACTTTAGATTTCCAAGCGATTCATTTACAACGAAATTCAAGTATCTACCTATGGGCTATCGATAGAGAAACTGCATTGACTAAAATATCAGAGCGGCCTACCAACAGACGGGTGGGCACGAGACACGGCGGGCGTTTATCTACAATCATATTTTTATTATATAAAAGCACCACGAATACGACGAGTGCGATCTGTATAGGCAAAAAGTTTGGCTGTACGTGTATATAGATTTATTGTTTACCTCGCCCATGCGACAGTCTTGTGGCCGTTGCTGCTGCTGGCCGTGGACGACGTTTTGTTGCCATCAGTGTCCACGGACAAGCGGACGGCCGTTCGTCCACTCTGGTTTTCGATTTCCGGTTCCACAACGATCTCTTCTAATTCGTATGACAGCGGTGGCGTGGTCGTCATCGTGACAGCAACGGACTGTCGCGTGGTCACCGCTTCCTTCAGTGGACCACCGTCCACAGCGACCACGGTAGCCGCTGGACGTGAAGGGGCGGCGGTGGCCGGTGGATCTCGAGACCTCATCGCGCTCTGGGGCGGTTTCAAAGTCGTGGCCGACGGATCTATGACGGATAAAGTGGCCAGGGTGTTTGCAGCAATGGCCGCCGGAGGAGGCACAGCCGTGACAATCGGCCCACCATCGACGACGGGCGAAGCGACAGCGTTGGTCGCATGTGTGGTCGCTATGGCCGTGGCCGAGGTAGACGCCGTGATCGGAATGGTGGACTGTGCGGTCGTTGTGATGGATGTGGTTAAAGTCGGAGCTGTGGTCGACGACAAAGAATCGGACGCTGCCGATACCGCTGCCGACGCCGATTCTGTTGACGTGGTCGTGGTCGTTATCGTGGTCGTCACAGGGGCTGCTGGCGCAACCGTCTTTATGCCATTGTCGAGCAGTGGGCGGACAACATCTTTCGGTGGAGCATCCGCCTTGGACGACGCTAAAGCCGTAGCCGCGGCCGTTGACTGTTTTTTGGGTAAACGCGGCGACGATCTTATCGGCGGACGACCGACGGTCGGTCTTGCAGAGACAGTCGGTTTGGGGCCTGCCACAGCGTCGGTTGACGGTTGTTGCCGCCTCGGCGTCTTTGGTGACCGAAGCGGCAGTGGTGACTTGGGCGGCACTGGTTTGCGTGGCGTTGGAGGCAACTTCTTACGTGGTGACGATTTGATGGCTGCCGCGCTGCCGGCCGTTGGAACGGCAGGTGGCTTTCCCGCCGCCACTGGGGTTTTCCGGCCACCCGTACCACCGCTCACTGCAGACGATTGTTTAGTAGATGAACCGGTCGTCCGTTTGCCAACGGCCGATAGGTCTTTGGTGGACGCCGACAGCCGTTTGTTGTCTTTCGTCATGGTTGGTGGCCTACGACTATCGTCAACGATCCGCGATTCGGAAGACTGACGCCTCAGCCGTCCGGACGTCGACGGGCTGGACGCCCGCGACCGTCCGTTTTCCGGAGTTTTGAAACCATAGCCACGGAATGGGCTAACGCGGCCGCTGACACCAGTACCGCCGACTGGTTGAGCCTGTGTGGTGGCAGCGGCAGTGGACGATGTGGTGGTTGTGGCCGTGGAAGACGCCACCGGTGGTTCGGGCAGCACGACAAACGCGCCGCGGTCTTTACGTCTAGATCTCAACTTGTACGCTTCGGCGGTGGCCATCGGAAGAACGGGTGGTGGCGTTGGTGGCCTGCCGGTCGGGCACCGTGGGGACGTGGTCTGTGGCTCCGTGGGCCGGCGGCGGTGGCGTCCTCGGCGACTGCGGCCACCGTAGTCGTCATCGTCGTCGTCTCCGTCGGACGAGATCACGACGAATGCTTCGCCGCCGTCGCCCAGGGCCGTCAGGCATCCGGTGGCGTTCATCTCACAACGACCGCGGTTGCGGTAGTAGTTACAACGTTCGTCATACCAGGAATCCGTTACGGTATTGTAATGGGTTTACGGCGGGCTCGCGAATATTAATAATAATATTTTAGGAAGCGTTTACACGACTCGTGCGCTCACTAGCGCACACAAGTATTAATATTGCACACACAAACTTATGTTGTCCACGGGGGTGTACTCACGCACACTGAACTCTCGTTGGTGCTGACCAACGGTGGCGACGGCGGCGGAAAGTCGTAAACCTGACGCCGCCGCCCGTGTGGGCGGAGGGGACGACCTTAACGAAACGCACAAACATTGAGCCCTGTCGCGCCGCCGTCAGGTTTCTCCCGCGCACAATTCGCCGCTGCCACCGCACGAGTTGTAGGTACAAGGACTATGCTGCTGCAGCAGTTGTATAACTACATAATATTATAAAAAAAGGTAAGTACTTATGTATTATTTATGTATAGAATATCGATACAATTTATTATTAGGTATATAATATATAATAATAATTATGCTTTTAACGGATTTCGGCCGAACCCAACAATATAGGTACTAGGTATGGTCGAAGTGACTAAACAATTTCGGAGGTGCTATTAATGTTAAATCCTTGTAGGTACTTTTGTATATTCTAGATATGTAATGCACAGTTCCTAAGCTATACTAATTCATATATTCCTCAGAAAAAAATAAAAATTCTTATTAATTATAGTGTTTGTTAATTATATTTATTTTATTTAGTATAACTATAGATGGGTATGGCGTATGGTCTTTTACATTTTGTAGTTAAGGTACAACTTTAAGGCAACTATAGGTATGTTTGTAATGCACAATGTGCATATACTATTTTAATTTAAAATTACAAATTTTTCAAAGACGGATTAGTAAAACGTATTCAGGGATGAAACATATGAATTAAATATTACTCCTCCCCTCAACCACTTGAAGTTGTTATCACAAATATTGAATAAACACACATAATATCCATTGCCCAATAGGTGAAGATGTAGATTTATTATAATTATTTTATACTATTATGCTGTATTATATTGTTTTTAAATTTCGTTCATAATATGTGAATCAAGGAATGCATTAAAAAGGTATAGGTATTGGGTATTTACACGAATAGCGTTTATTAGAAGAGCCACAGGACACGATTGTTATATTTTAATCAGGGATTTTTAAAACATCAATAATAATCAAATAAATAACAATTATTTGATTGTTGAATACAATATATTATGATGTAACAAAAAATGAAATACTTACGTTGAAAAGTTTATTCTAAATTCTAATCAAAATCAGTATGGTTAATTATTTAATATAGCCATATAGGTAAGTAATAAATAAATAAATAATAAATATATAATTGTAAGTTAATCAAAAATGTGTTTGTTAAATATAATGAAAAATCAAATAGGTGGGTACCAATTGAATATCAAATCAAAACATCGATATAGCTAGTCAATATAATATAATAAAACAAATGAATAAATGGTAGGTATGGATTATATAAATAAAATTATAATTCATAAATCGAAATTAACATGCGTCAGTTAAAAATAGGTTTATAGTATTTATTGGTACCTACTTTAAAGGACGTCACACCTGCGGGTGTGTAGTTGTATCCCTTTTACACACGTACGACATATTATCAAATTTTCGTTCTCTAGTTTCAAATTTCAATATAGTATGCTGTTTGTTTTGATATTAGAGTGAATTATCAAATGTTTTGGTAAGTACCTACATTATCTGTGTTCTCTCATTGATTTGGTACGATATTTTAATTTTTAAGTGAGTTATGAGTATGTTAAGTATTAGTATTTGAAAATGCTAATATAACTCACTTAAAAATTAAAATATAATGAAAAAGACAAAGAAGAACACAGATAACGTTCTTACATCTATTACTTACAAATTTGATAATACCTATACGTCAATTCACTCTAATATCAAAACCAACAGCACACCATTGAAACTATACTAAACGAAAAATTGTTCTTATAATTATTATGTGTGTGTAAGACGGAGACAACACATGGGTGTACGACGTCTTCTTAAGCTTTTTACAAACTCCAACCTTGTGATTATGTTTTAATTCAATTTTTCATCTGATTTCTTTCGCTATTTTGGTAGATATTTTTTTTATTTCAATCTGGTTATAAATTGTTCGGGAAACAAAATCCACCCGTCATTAGGTATCGTTATATTTGTATATAGCTGAACCGTCTGAACCCCCTTATAAATACAACACGGAGAACCCCTAAAAACAAAATCAACAATGTCGTTAACCGGTTAACCTATAATTATTTGCAAATTTCAGTAATGATGACGTATTTTGTCCACATTTGAACTTCATTACTTATAAAAAAAACCATGCCTATATTTCTAGTATTTTAAATTGCTTCAATAACCACATACGAGACCTAAAATTTAAGGTTTTTTGACCAAAGAAAAAATTCAAAAAATAATATAATCGTATTAGATTTTATGTACATAAACTTTCAATTTTCAAATATTTTCATGTGTTTATAGCAGTTGAAAAATACTAAAGGAGCATGAGCACGGGTTTTCTATACGCTTTTAAAGTTCAAATTATGACAAAAATTCATCAAAACTTGAAAATTTGCAAATTATTGTATAGTTAAATACGAATAAAATGTTTCATTTTTATAGCTAAGGATTAAGAATTAAAAACAAGGTTTCCCATAAGTAATTCATACAGTAAGCAAAAAATATAAAAATATATAATCATAGATTTTTCTAATAGACATTTTGAGTTCCAATTTTGGACAAAATCAGATATTTAAACGAAGAATAATTGTATTTTAGTTGTTTCGTTGTAACTAAAAAATATTATTCATGCACTCTTGGGTACTGGAAACTTTTAAAGTATATTATTATATTTTATACTCACAATGATGTTTAAAAATTACATTTTTTCAGCAAAAATTAATTCAACCTACTGTACTGCTTCAATGTTTAGTAAAATGAATTACTTTGATGCTAGCAATTATATCATAAAACATACTTAGATATAGTCTGACATACCGTCCTATTTAGAATCGTTGGTTTTACAATGGTTTTTTATCATTTAATTCAAATTTAACAGATCCATTACTGTGACCACTCTAGAAACTTGGGTAGGTACCTTACCGTACATCTGAGCGGTAACCACTTGTTCACCTTTAAAAAAAAAAATACAGTTTTTTTTACGTTTAACCTTCAAAGTTGAAAATCAAAGCATTTTTACTACCCCAGAAAATACTGAGATGGAAAAAAAAACACAATCAATACATTTACCGTCATTCATCCATTCAGAATCTAAGACTGCTTAATGATTTAAGTATTTACAATTTACATAGGTAGATTGTAATTTGTATATATTGTAGATACCTACTTACGTAAATTACGTTAAATTACGGTGGATAACTAGAGTTAAGACTTATTTAACAGTACTGTCGGTAATAAGTAATAACGTATTAGTAGGTATGTACCATGTACCTACTACTCAGGTCTCAGATTCTTAGAGCAGTCAGAAAACCAAATAATGTTATGAAATTATTGTGTTATTAGATAAGCACCTACCTCGTATACGGCTATATAACAAATAACAATAATATAATAGACAATGTAGGCATGGGCAAAAAACAAAAGGTATGCGTAGGTACCTAATAATAATATAGTATGGTATGAGGTATCTTGGTCCTTAGTGATCTTACCTTTTGTTGTCATACCTATATTTAATTTGCGTTTCTGCATAACCAACTGTATGTGGTTAGGTTTAATATTAAAGTAAAATATTATCCTATTTTCAAGCATGTGAACCTAAGAAACTAAGAACATTGTCTTTATTTGTAGGTATAAGTAATAAGTATATATATAAGTTTTTTTCATGTTATTTTAATTTTTAAGCGAGTAAAGAGTAAAATAAATAACAATATTCAACATTATTCTCATAACTTAATTAAAAATTTAAATACCTATCAAAAGACAACTGATTTTTATTTAAGTACAAGCAAAACAAATAATATTCTTGCTTTTAAGTTAGAATACCTAGTTCTAATAACGGTCAATTCACTGTATAATCAAGCTGAACACACAAAATAAATTGATACCTACTTATACATTAACGCAAATCATATTTTTAAAGTAAGTACCTAGCACCTACACTTACCTAGAGCTTTCGTAACTATGCAAGACATTCCCAAATGCGCTTTTGAACAAACTCTTAATTTAAGTGTAGGAGCTAGGAAGGTACTGTTGAAGACTTTTTCAACCATTCAAGTTTATGCCAAATTACGAAACTACCTAGATAATGATAAATAACAAGATAAGGATTATCTTATTATATAATATTATATATTTTTTTGTATTATTATTATTAAGGTTGACACGGTCGCGAACGGTATCCGTCGTGTCTCCAGGTACCTATACACAATAAGCAAATAGAAAGAATTCGAAGACAGCAAACTAAATTAAATGCTTAATTTATTATGACTTATTTAAATTTTAAGGTATTGAGACTTGACAGAGGTAGTTGGCGTGGTTTTAGTTGAACAGAGAAAAGAAAAAGAAAAGTAATAGTATATATATATATACATGTATACTATCGTGACAACTGCTTGTGTTGGAGTGAACTACAGTCGACAGGCTTAAAGGCTGGTGTCGCAAACCGTGACATGGTTGTTGGTTAGTGGCTAGGTGCGGCGGGTAATCGACGTTTGAATTCAAGTGCCGATTACCCGGTCCGCGTCAAGGATAGTATGGTGCCTAGTAAATACTAAAATACAGTACCTATAGTACCCAGGCAAAATCGCTAAGTGGCCTGTTATCTCTAAACTTTCAAAATAAAATGTATATTAACATGATAAAAAATGTTATTTTTATGTAATTTGTTGAATCATTGAAAGTTGTTTTTAACTATTGTTATTTGATATATTATGTAAATAGGTAGTGTAAATTGACAGCATAATAATGATATAAGCCTGAATTATAACTTTTAGGAGACCAAAGTGGCAGAGCCCGATTGTACTTGATTGCACCCCCTTCCCATGGCCCTATCAATGGATTTGTATCCATTAGGTACCTATTAAGAAATAGTTCTGCAGACTTTAGTTATGTTTAAACATTATAATACTGGCAATATTAATGTACAAGGTTAGGTTAACTTAAGTTCTTAACACAAAAATATGACTAACTGTTAAAAAATAATAATATCAGTATATCACCATTGATTTTTACTCTTATGAAATTTAATGTGAAATGCTTATAAACATTTTCATTTTTTTTTAAATAGTATACTTTATTAGTTTGATCACGTTTTTTTTTACTTAAATAGGTGCTTACCAACATAAAATATTACTTAAGTAGGTATAATCATATAGAACTAATACTTTACCTATATCATGCTATTATTTTTAATACAATAATACAGCCATATGAGTAATTTGAAAGTTAAAATTTGCATCAGTATAAATACTAGTTAGTAAAAGTACTGCTGCACTAGAAAAAGTTAGTTAGAAATTTTCTTAAATAGGTAAACAAGAGAAAAATATTTTTGATTTTGGTTTGGATATATTATATTAGAATATTTTTCTTAAGTTATAACATACCTAGTTATAAGCTGCAGATACTTTATGTCATAAATGAAATCAGATAAAAAATCAAACTTAAGCAATAACAAAAAAAAAGCTAAAATATCAATATAAAATTTTGTTTAGACATATAGGTAGGTATTAATCTTATGTAGTATGAAACAAATGTACAGGTAGCTATAACCAAGCTTTAATGCTTCATAATGGACCAACAACAGAAAAATAAGTCGAGAAAGCTCGCTCTGCAAGCAATAATTTTTAATACAAAGTAATATTGCAATAAACTATATGTATAATTCTATATAGGCACAGTTTAAAAAGAATTTGCTAACCATTATATTTTGGTACATTTTTTTTTTATTAGCGAGTATATGAATCCATAATAAATACTTAAATGTTAGGATTTTTCAATACTGGTTAATATTAATTCCAAGTTTGAATAGAACCGTGGTACAATACTAAAATCTCAATAAGGTAACTTAATAACTATTAATTGACGTATCCCATCTATGTTAGTTAAGCTTTTATGTTCATATTCATATTACGACTATGATTTTTAAAGCAAACTTAAAAAAAAAAATAACTGTCAAAAGGGCGTGGGGTCATAGTCTCCCATGGCTATGTCAGTGATTCATTACTGTAGCAATTGTAGCATAAGATATGAACTATAGTTGCGCCACTAATACCTAATATCAATATTGAAAATACTTTATAAAGGCGCATAATGGCATTTTTAAAATGTTTAAGATTTATTTTATGCTATTGAATATTTTTACCATAATCCTATTTACACCACGGTAAGTTGGTATTGACTCAAAAAGTTAAAAGATAATAGTAACATAAATGCAATGTTTTTGGAAAAAGTTAATTCAACTTCCCTACCTCATCAAACATGTATTTATATCCATTATCCCTAGAAGGTAGAGTTACCTTCACTTAATATGTTTACAAATTATGGTAATTGACCATGACACTTGCCCACTGACACTAGTGGTGTACCCATAGATTTAGTTTAAGACAGGTAGCCATAGTAGTATAGTACAATATATGTTTTGGTTATTTTTCCTACAAATAAAATAGAAAACACTTCGTAAGTAATTTATAATGATTAAAGAAGATTTAATCAAGTTATCTATTCAGTTATTTTCAAGATTTAAGAAATCTCATGTCTTATGTTGTAACAAGTGTGTTATACTAATGGTTTTAAAGGTTATACACTCAGCTACCTATTAAATTAATTAAATAATTACATAAATAAATTATGCATTGCATATGGCTTAAATAATGATTTTCAGCATTATGATATTAAATTAATTAGCAATAAAATTTCATCAACTTGATACAATTAACAATTAACAAGTAAACTGATGACCCATACTATAGTATATTTAATTTATGATATTTTTTTTTTTTTTTTTTTTATTGATCCAAATCTTCGTATTATAGTACACGAATAAAATTAATAATGATTTTTTTTATTGATCCTGAGCCTGGCAACTGAGGCCATTAGCTATTAGTAGGTACTGTAGGTTTTTTTGTATTGATGGTTTGTAGGTTTTTGGAACGGTAGGGGGAACACGTGTGTGTTTGTTTTGGCAGAATTTCGAATGGGGCACCCGTAGGTTTCTGCCATGCCCCGGGGGTGGGGGATGGCAGCACTTGTTCTCCGGTCACCGTGAATTGTCCGGAGAAAAATGCCGCCCGGTGGCCGAGGATCGAACCGCGACCGGCTGCGTCGCAGCGGAAGAGTCAGACCACTCGGTCACCTCGTCCCCCTTATGATATTTGTAACCTAAGTTGTTTAACATTCACATAAAACCAGTAACATATACAGGGAGGTAATGTTTGAGGGATATGACACCCCTTTACCATATTTTATACAAAAATATCAATATATTTTATGTTATTTTTACTGTACATATTTGAGATGTAGAAAATATGTATTGCATCATTTTTTTTTCTATAATCTTAAGTATTTTTTAATATACTAAGTATATATAAGTGTATTAGACACACCCTCAAAAAGTCCTAGATACACCACTACATACAATTATAAATAGTATTATGATAAAAATTATAATGAAATACACTTTTTTTGAAAATTGTAAATACCATTGGTAAAACCAATAAGACTTTTGGTAAAATTTTGTTCCAATCAGTAAAGTAACATGGACACAATGCCCTAAAAAAATATAGTACATAAAAAAAAATGTTACTGTGCTATTAAATTAATTTATGTATTCAAAAAATAAAGTTTTTCATGTTTAAACATTGAATAGGTGTAAAATTGTATTTGAAGCTAGTCTTATATTGGCTTAGCAAATAATAAAGCTTACAATTTAATTTGTTTTTAAATTAATTCAACATATTAACAAATTACGCAAAACCTTGTTATATGGTAACAAGTAACACTTAATATGTAAAACTAAAAAAAAAAAACATACAATTAAATTAAGTAGTAATAAAAACATATAACTAAAGGTATTAACACTTATATTGAATTTAAAACAGCAATAAAAAAAAAAAAAAAATCATAATAAATAAATAATAAAAATAATAGCAATATCTCAAAGATATTAAGGTATCGTAAGTTAAGTTGTAAAGTTATCTTTATTAAAATAATCGTATAGGTATTTTTACACAGTCTTAAAAAAAATTAAATAAAACAGGACGTAAAATAATGTTTTAAAAAAAAAAACAATGATCATTTGTTAGTTACCTTCATGAAAAATTATCATTTAAATAAAATAATAAAATATAAATAAATAAATATATACTTTCAATTTAAAGATTTAAAAAAGATATTGATACAATTTATAAGCGGTAGACTATTGTAATGACACAGTGAAAACATATTGGCATGATATGACATATATATTGGTAAAGTGTGTATATTATGAATTGATGTTTAATAATAAATACACTCATACCTGTGAACAGCAAATCTTTAAATTAAGTACAAATGCTATGAAACAACTTTTAAAATAACAAAAAAATAATTAACAAGAACATGTCACTAAGCGAGGAAGAAAATATAACATTTGATTTATCTCACCTCTAATGATGAGCCATTTTTCTCTGAACTGTTGATAGTGGAAGCATTTTCGACAGAACTTTCAGTTTCTAAAATAAAACAAAATTTATTAAATTGTAAAAAGTTGAAATGATTATTAAATTATAATGTATATTTACTATTTTTTTCAGTGTTAGTAGATCCAATTGATTTTTCTTGAAAAGCATGTAGTCTTTCTCGATATGTCTGAAGTTCTTTACGTAAGTCTTCTTCCAGCTTACCATGTTTTGTAGTTGATATCTAAAATACATAGAAATAATTATTTCATAATTAAATGAACACTTTCAGTGATAACTATCACGTGTTTATTACTAATTTATCAAGAATAAACAGTAGATACCATTTTGTGACACAATATAGATATTTTTTTAAAATGTTTCCTTACCAAAAGTTCTGTAATTTGAGAATTCAAAGAAGCTACAATTGGTTTTACTTTGGTGATCCGAGATAACTGTGTAGCATAAGCTTTATATAAACTACAATTTGACGTTAAATTTGATGTTCCCAAACTCGCAGCAATTGCATCGACATCAGTCATACTCAGTGATTCATTTAATACTGTGATAATTTCATTTCCTAAAATGAATGTCCAAATTAAAATATATTGTAGTAATATTAAATATATATTCAATTTACCTTGAGAAACTGCTGAAAGTAAAATTTCGTTTGGCTCGTCAGAAATGTTTTTATCCTGACCATCAGATGTCTTATTAGGGATTGATAAAGGCACTTTAAGTATATCAGCAACTAATTGTAAACGTTCATTTAATGCTTCTTCAATAACTTTATTATTTCTTCGTAATTTTTCTTTGATAGATAAAAATATTATTACTAACATTATCAAATCAATAAGTACCATTGATTAATACATACCAAGATGTGTGATAACTGGTTCGGCTTTGAGTACAGAACTTTGTGATACTAATACTTCAGATGGCTCAATAAGTGGACTTTTTTGAGTTTTGGACAACACAGGAGTGCTATTAGCGACGGTCAATGCTTCACTATTTGGAAAGTTTTCATTACCTAATTTAATAAATATATATATATATGTAAGAAAAAAATCTCATTGATACAAAACAATTTTATTTTTATTACCATGTTTAGATGTATCACAATTACTAGAGTCTAATGAAGTGGATAACTGGGAACTATTTAAACTATTATTATTGTTATTATTAGGAGGTTCTGAACAATTATTAGTCACCCTGAAATTATAGTTATTAAAACATAAGACTGAAGCATCAAAAAAGCAACTTAATGTTACTTACGACTTTTTTTTAGTACCCTGTATTATGTCTTCGTAATCAATAACATGATGGGAGGTCTGTTCTTGTTTCTTAATTTTTCCTTCACGAGCTTTATAGGATTCAGTTGCTTCAGAGATGTGTCGAAACCATCTAGTATAAAGGAATATTTTGGTTATTGAAACAAGTAGTAATGGTTTAACTGTAATGACTTACGTTTTTCTTTCATTTGACGAAGTTGTAACTAAATCATATATCTGAGCGCCAGCTAGTGATGTGTTTACTAAGAACATAGCTTTTTTGTCTAAATAAATAAAGTTTAATATAGCGAATATGAATACATATTTTTTAAGCAAATAATCAACTTTTGACACTCACCCACTGCATTATGTCTGACTAAAGCCGTTGACATCTTAATAATTGGACTTAAAGTAGGAGTACGATCTTGGAAGCCATAATATTTTAAAACATATTTATCGTCTACTTTGTTCAACAAAATAATTAAATCTTCTAATAACAATACATGCAGTTCAATCATTTTTTGACGAGTGCCGCCAATTCTTAACCACAGACCACCTTCATGTATTAATTTATGTTTTGTTACATCTAAATTCTGTAATTAACAATAATAAAAACAAACATGAGCATGAACTGTATCTAAAACAAAGCCAAATTATTTTCAAACAAAGATATGTATAATAGATTGTTATTGACTTTTTTTCACCTTAAAGTCAACACTAAGAGGATGATCAACTTTTTCAAATGGAGAAGCATCTAATTTTTTTTGAATACCAGATAATCGAAGTTGGTCTTCTGCCTCACGTACCGCTTGATTTACATGATTTAAAATAATTTTACTTCTCTCGAAAGATCTTTTAATATTCAATAATTCTTCTTCATTTGATGTACACTTCACCAAACTTTCAAATAATAATGGATATTTAGTTAATCTAAAATTAAAAACAGATATATTAGTTTTTGCTTAGTCTTTTGATGATTAAATTATAAGTAAAATTACCTTATCATGCCAGTAGGTAAAATGTCTTTCAGCTGTAAACGTTTGCACACAGGATTGCCCTCAGCTTCATTTAAAAATATATTTAATTTTGTATCTTTTTTTCTTTTTTCTTTTAAAGATTCTAAAGCTATTTGTTGTCGAGCACAAAATGTAGCGGCAGCTTTTTGAAATACTTCTCCAGCAGTTCCATCAAACTGTAAATTATATGATTTAATTGATATTATCCTTCTTATTTACCTATACCTTATTATGTCTATTTTTAATTTTTACAAGTAAACCACTCAACCATTTATTAGGAAGTTTAACAAATATTCAGAAAAATTAAAAATATAACTTAATATTAAGAAGTAATTTAGAAGGGGTTTCATACTAGAACTATAGTTGTAACATTTTTAAAGACAAAAAAAAGGTTAATCATATGAAAGATTCGGTTTTTAAGATAATTATGTAATAGGTGAAAAACTACATGCGAGTATCTTTTAAACTATATAATCGGTATGAATAAATAAATAAGTATGATCACAAAAAGCCTGTTCTAGTTGGGTTTATGCATCCCGCTCAATTCTACACACAAAACCATTGCTCATAGTTCTCCACATTTCATTGGTTATCAATGTTAATCGAATATGATAGAAACAAAGAACTACACAATAATTAGGCAAGGGTGTATAACAAAGATGTGGTCATACCTATTTAATTAGTCATAATAATAGATTACAATTAATCATTTATATTTGACAAATAAACAACACGTACAGTATTAAGTAAGACATGACCAATATTTTGAACAACTTGATTGTCTTTCCTGACTGCTTTCATGGCATTACAAAACTGAGAGTGCAATTCAAACATTTGTTCAAGGTTTGCAAATAACAATTGAAGTTGGTCTTGTGGTAATACCTGCAGTTCTCTCATAGGTCGATGAAAAACATGCTCCAAAACTTTTAACCCTACGAATTATACAAGTATATTTAAGTATTCATTATATACAAAATCCACATAACAAACTAGAAATAATGATTTACCTCGAATATGAGATCTTTCAGTATGATAAAGTTCGTTTATAACTTCTTGACGTTTTTTCTCTTTAGATGATAGCTGATCCAATATTTCAGTCGGAACATTACTGGCCCAATCAGGTAAATCTAATTCATCATCAGAATCACTATCTAAACAAGAAGTCATCTCTCCACCTTGTCCAATGCCTTCCAAAGATGTACTGCGGCTGTCCAAGCTTCTAATTCAAAAGTAAATACAATAAGTCATTGGAGTTCATCAATTGAATAAAAAACAAATAATTACTTGGTTGATAAATTAGAATTTGAGGAGCTATCAGAACGTGCAAATGAAAACTGCATTTCATGTTCCACATCACTAAAATTAAAACAAATTATTAATTATTATTAATTAAATTAGTAATTTATTTTTGGGTACACTAACTTTTTATATTTTGATGGGAGATTGGGATCACTGGTTTTTCTTCTTTCTCGAATTTGACGCTACAAATAAAAAGTTATTAAAAGTAGTAATGATATACAACTTAGTTAGTAAAATTTTAGTTTAAGTTGCTGTCCCTGTCTTTTTATGTAAGTAAAATAATTGGCAAGAATTGTTCTCTAGTTTTGGTCGCCGGCCAGTTAAGTTCTAATCATGAACAGAGTATAGTAATTGAGTACTTATTGGATTATTATTTAGTTTCTTAAAACCAGTTTTTTGTTTGTAATAAATACCTTTTGGTGAATACGTTCTTTATAGCTTTCAGATCGGTTTATGGAGATTCCTGTTGGTTTTAATTTTGGACAATGAGACCTAAAATATAAAGTTATGTATCATAGGCTATGAAATAGTGTCATGGAAAATATTAAAACTTACATTTCTTCAATTGTACTGGTATCCCCTCTTTCAGACTTAAAACTATCATCAGCTTTAAAATGAAAACTGCTACTGCTTAAACTCGTCCGATCTGCAAGTAACAAAATTTTAATTAATTAAAAGATAAACATAATATAAACATACAATCAGCATTTATTTTTATAAAATGCATGTACATTAAATAGTTAATGTTATTAGAATATGTAATTGCATCATTACCAGAATCTTTTTCAGGAAGGGCCCCAACCACGTCACCAGAATCTTCAGATTGTCTCTTTGATTTTTCAACTTAAAATAGATTTAAATAAAATTAATTAATTAAAATGTTAAATTAACCAAACAAATGTATTACTTTGAACAAAGTTCAAACCAGGTTTTCTTCGAGTTTCACGTTCAGGCCTTATTTTATCCATGAGTTTACTAATGCGATCATTGGCTTTATCTTTTTTCACTATTGGACCAGGACAGTTTTCATCCAAAACTTTCACACAAACACGGTGAATATTTAAAATACAATCTAAAAAAAAGTTTTTTTTTATTTTCATGCATTTTAAAAATTAATTTGATAGTATTAACATACTTGTGCATTGATAACCTTGTGGTCCAATTCCCCAAATAATTAACTGACAATGGTTACAATAAGTCACAGTGAAATACTGATGAGCGACAAAATGATGTCCTTTGTTAGTAAACTGTAAATATAATTTAATTAATTTTACAATAATAATTCAAAAAGTAAATAGAATGGAATTACTTTTCGACATTTTCCTATAAGTTTAGCTTTCAGAGATTTTTCTTTGGAAACAAAAGTTGGGCAACGATCTAAAAGAGAATTAAATTGAGTTCCCCGAAGCCCAAATATTTTACTCATAACTGTAGCGAGTGCAGCTGCCATTGTAAATCTTCTATCATCTACAATCTCTTTGTCCATATCCTCTCTGAAAAATAATATTAATATTACAAATATGACATAAATATAATATTATTAGATATACTTACATAAATGGTTCCATATTAGGAACAAGAATCATTTCAATTATTTTCAATTCTTTTACTTTATCATTAATACTATCATCAAGTTGAAAATCAGGTGGGCCAAACAGAGTGCCCAAACCAGCTGTACGTCTATGACGAAAATCACTCAACTGTTCATTTAACTCTTCTTTGGCTTTGGTTCGAGCTTTCCAAAACACCTAAAATAATGATTTGTTGTAAAAAAATTGAATATTTATTATATTCAAATTTTTATTTAACACTAACTTTACGTAAAATTTCTTCACGATCCGAATCTTTTTGTAAAATGTCATCAATTTCACGAACAAGATTCTCTTCAATATTAGTCAGTCTCAATGGCTATAATTAGAAATAATTTAATTAAACTTATTTTTAGTACAAACACAAGTTAAATTATTATAAACGTACAGCACAAGGCACTAGAAAACTGGAATGGATTTCATACGCCCATTTTTTCATTTCTTTGGCATTGCCTTCTTTAAATAAATTTGTAACTAAATAGAATAGCTGTAAACATAACATTTTAATAATTAAATTTTTTGCTTGAAATGACTTTAAGATTTTTAGTAAACATACTAAAGCTGAGGGATCACTATTTGATATAACATAGTTTAAAAATACTGCTAGATGTGCATTATGCTCTACTAATTTAGTAAAACTTTTAAATGGGCCATGTTCTTCTAAATGGCTCTGGAAAAATAATAGATTAATTACTTAACATGTATTAATACTCTTACAAAATTTTTTTTTTACTATAGATTTCAAAAAACTTACAGATTCTTGATCAGAAATTTCATCATCCTCCATTGAAATTATTGGAGTTTGAGTTAATTTTAGATCTGAAGAATCAACTGAACATCGATCACCGCCATATTTATTCTAAAAAAATTTATATATATTCATAAACAATAACATTATGAACAAAAATTTTTTGAAAAAAAACTTATAATAATATTACCATATCTATGTGCGGTTTATCACATGGGTTTGCTACATCAGGAGATCTGTTAGGAGAATGTTGACGAGGTGGTGATACTACATCCCAAGCTAATCCACCCTTGGAGTGTTTTACAAAATGCAAATCGTTGAAGGATTCAGATAAGCTTAACTTTTTAGTACCTGTAATTATTAACATAAATTATATCGTAAATTCTGTGTTCAAAAATACATTTAAGATGAAAATGCAATAGAAAATAATTCCTAGTATAATATTTCTGAGTGTTGGATAATTAAACATCTAATTATTCATTATAAGAACTGAATACGATACAGTGGTACATGTTAAATAATAGCATTGACATAAAAATAATGTTTTTTATTTTTTAGATGTACAATTTAGCAACGTTGGGCGTTGATGAATCAAAAGGTTAAAGTTAAGTTTAAAAGTTAATTTAACTTTAACTTTTTAACTTAACTAATTACTTTTGGATTTTCATTAACTTAACTATAACCTTATTAAATTTATTTTTTAATGAACGTAAAAGTAACAAATTAATTTATCATTTTAAGAAATAAGTGAATTTATTTTGTTTTAAATAAGCATAAAAATTAACGCTACCTATTCATATTTAAACTCATAGTTTAAGTATATTTATATATGACTAAATGTATATTATGTTAAAATATTATCCAACTACAGTGGACACTGCTTATAAGACTCACGGATATAAGGTTCAGTCGCTTATTAGACTCAAAATTGTCTGAAACGGTCCGGACGTATCCAAATACGTTATAAAAAATTCGGTTATAAGACTCAAATTTTGTAAAAAAAAAAATGGTAAAAAATAAACATTTTTGGTCAAAATTTAGAAATAAATTAATGTTTTTTGCTTTATTATGTGTGTATGTACAGTAAATTGTATCGTCTTTCACATTTTCCAATATATTTCCGGAATATTAGTTTATAACTAAAAAAAAAAAATCACAATTTTTTTCCATAAATAATAAATAGAAACATTATACGTACATCTTTTATAATTTTTATTAATGCATATAATCAAGTTTTACATGTATTGTGATTATAATTTTTTTATCAGAATTTTTTTAATTTATGTTATATGTAATATGTATTAGAGTATTAAAATTAAAGAAAAATGTGTAGTAAAATAAAATTCATAAATATATAAATATGTAATTAATTTTTTTTCCCACTTCGCCTATAAGATTCATTCGGTTATAAGACTCAATTTGTGCTGGTCCCAATGTGAGTATTATAAGCGGCGTCAAAGGTATTTCAATTTATTTATTATCTCTTTGCTTAAATTATATTTTCATTTCTAATATAATATAAAGTTAGGTAATTTTTTTATGATTACATTAATATAAAAGTATAAAATTATGTAAATATAGACAATTATACTATTTCATATTTTTATATCTTACTAAGTACATAATACCTAGTAGGTATCTGTTTAATAAAATATTTTGTGATATTTTATTATATAATAAATATACAGTAATACTCTATTATGAACCCAACATACACATACACACATAATATCTCTTAGAAAGACAACTAAATAATACTCATTTAAAATTTTTAAGTATTAATTATTATTTGTTAATTTATTACTTACTACTTATTAGATAGGTACTTACTGTTCTTAAAAAAACAATATAGGTACTATATGGAAATACTGAATAAACACTATAGTTTTGGTTTGGAAAAAAAATTAAGTACGCTTGAGTCGTATAAAAAAATGAACCTTTTTTTAACGTAATAAGGTTTTAAAAAAATATGGTAATAACATTTAACTTAACTGTTTAAATCTATTATAAAATTAACTTTTAACTTTTTATAATTGGTGTATATTAACTTAACTTAACCGAGTTAAAAAAAATCATTAACTTGCCCAGCCTTGCCATTTAGTTTTAGTGTGAATTTAATGTTAGAATTTCTTTTTTTATAAATGTTATAAAATTTAATTCAATATCACTCATGCTATAGAATTTGTAACTGATCATAATTTTGATTTGAATTTAATATCCATTAAGATAGTTCAAGTACTAACCTAATGGTTTACCTTCACTAAGCTGATCAGGATTTGATTTTGTACGTTGATGACACAATGAAAGATTAGGAGAATCCTGAAAGAAATAAAAGTAGTTAAATGCAATGGAAATATACATACATAAATAAAAGAATAATTATAATGTATAATCATACAGACATACAAGAATCATAATGATAAATACAAATTTATCAAATAAAAGTTTAAAGAAATAAAAACCCATACACCTAAGAACTTTACTAATATTAAAGATCTACATACATTAATAATATAAGTGATTAATCTTACAAAAATCACATTTCAAAAAGAACATAAAAATACATACATCACATTTTTATAAAATCATCATGCAATAAAAACATTTTAGAACAAATTATTTATATTTAAGTACCTACCTCCATTGGTTTCACAAGCATAACTTGTGTTGGAGAGAAAACATACAAAACATAGTTAATAATTTCTAACCTAACATGGTGTGGAATTGGGTATTACTTTTAGATGTAAATAATTAAAATATTATAAAGTAAAAATAATTAATATAGCGGTTATTTTATTTAATTCAACCATACAACCATTTTAGTGTATTAACTTAATAATAGTACTCTTTAATCTGCATTTAATAATAAAATATTTTATTTTTAGCATTGCATTACATATTGTTTTACATTTTTAATCTACATATTAAATATACTCTGCCTCACACAAGAATGTATTTTTACTATTTCCTACTTTTTATGGTAGTAGTCAATATTGAATAGTTCATGCAGATGGAGCTTCATATAAAACTGGGAATACTACAGAAATCACAGTGGATGATAGGAACTAAAAATTGCGTTTTTAAGTTAGACAGAGTATATTTTCATTGTATTTAAAGTATAATTGTTGACTTTACATATGAATACTTTTAAGAACAGTTTTTATTTAGTGTGCCTATTAAGATTTGTATGATTCAATGTAAATAAAATACATTTTTTAAAATTCAATTTAGAAACATGTAAATTAAGTAATATAATATGGGAATATTTTAAGACATAATAGGCTATTAATTGTCTTAAAACAATTATCGCGTACTTACAGTTTGACTATTGTTAACACCACTGATATGTGAATTATTCGACTGCTTATCACTAATCAAAGGGGCCGTTGGATTTCTAGGAGGTAGTGGTGGTGGGTTTCTTGGTGGTAGTGGAGGAGGTTGAAGTGAAGATGCTTGTGCAACAATATTACAAAGCTGTCAACATAATAAATATGCATACGATCGTGTTAAACAAAAAAAAAGTACAAAACACTTAGAATTGGAAATAGGGTATTAAAGGTGAACAAATATAACAATATTTTGGGATGTAAAGGAAAAGGATTAAATCAAAATAAATATCTTAAGCAAGTGCTAATATCAATGTAAACTAAGTTGTATAGAATGCAGATATGTACATTTAGTTATACTTCTAGAGCCAATGACTCTACAAACATCATATTATAGTGCTTTAGAAATAGTGCTAAACATAAAAACCTAAAATATTTCTCAATATTAAGTTTATTTTATAATTTAAATGAAGTTTAAGATTTTCTGAAAATAATTAATACAATTGTATAACATTTTAAATTCTGACTTATTTTATTTTAGCTCAATTTTAAATTAAAATACTGAATATTTTTTTTTATTGTATTTATTTAATTAACTATAACAGTTAAATACAATTAAATAAAAAATACAAAGAAGAAGTGGGTAAAACTAAAAATATATGGTCTTGAACCACCTTTTGATAGTATGTTAAACTAGAATTTTTTTGGAGTTTCTACATTTCATTGAGTTTAAAGTTTGGATTAATTATAGAATTTTTAACTGTTCAAGTTTGGTTTTTAAAATTAGTTTTGACTAAAAACTTGAACTGAACTCTAGCAGTTTGACCCACATATAGTACATAGGCACATTAAAATATCATGTTTTAATTATGTTTATCCACATATTTCTATGGCACTGGAAGTGTTAAATCAAGACTGACGACAAACATTTTTTATAAACAGTAAGATAAATTAATGTTTGTAAAACATGTTAGTACTTTCAATAATTTATACACATTATATGATCATAAAAACACAAACCAAAGACTAAAATTACTATACACTTCAAACTACAATATGTAACATAATCGCAAATTCTAGACAACATAAAAAATATTCACATTCAGGTATACTTTTTATAAAATTCAACTTTCAAGTTTTAAATTATCGAAAATCTGCAAATATACTAAATACTAAATTAATAGTCAACACCAAAAATTTAATATTTTAATTTTCTATAAAAATAGATCATGCGACTTTGTATTTAAATATAATAATAGTCCCATTATATTACATATAACTAAAAGAAAATAATTATTGTACACTACCGGTATTTCATTGAACGTAGTTAACTGGTCTTGCAGTGTCTTAACTCGGCGTTCAGCGCCAGACAATTCTCTTTTCAATTTATAGTTATCACCATTGGATACATCTGATGATGATCTATGAAGTTCTTTTTTTAATACCTCCACATACCTTTGTTCTTTTTCTAACATTAATCTGAATGTTTGCCATCGTTCTAGTTCAACATGCCTCATTTGTTCCACCTTGAAACATTTTAATTTAAATAATACATTTTTTTTTTTTTGGAGTTTTTTGATATAAACATATTGCCACTAACAATAGAATTAAATTAGAAAATAAGAAAAAAAAATGGTTTCTGAACAAATTTTAACTTGTATTTGTTTATCATAATTAAGATAGAATTATAAATATCAAATTTAAATAAATGTATATAACATTATGACATTTATATAATTTATAATATTATTTTAATAACTAAATATTGTATCATAATATCATTGAAATTTGAAAGTAAAATATTTCATAACAGTATTAAAATTGTAAAGCAAAACAGCCCCCCCCCTCACAAGATTTCTAAAAAAAAACTTGGTGTATAATTTAATCTTTGGGTCTTGAACTTTATATTAAATCAAATCCTTTAAAATTGGTATTCATTTAAATAAAAATATGAATAATTAAATAATCAAATAATATAGTATTTGGTGATTCATGCTTGAAGAATATTTTTGAATGCAATGTGTACCATTTTTACATTAATAAATAGGTTAGGTATCTTAAGACTTGGAACTAGTTAGTGATAAAATTATTTTCATTCAAATTGTACCAAATTAATTCCTTGAGCATTCATCATTCAAACATAACTAAAGACGGTAATACATTTAGGTTTCAAATAAAAAATGTAGCTTAAAATACATACATCAACAGGTTGAGGTCCTGTAATTCGATCACGAGCAGGAGCTGAATGATGGTGATGCAAAGGTCTGGATGGTGTTACAGAAGAACACGGAGCAATTGGAGATACAGAAGAAGAATTCATTGTCGGTAAAGGCAAAGGTGGTAATGTTAAATTGGGATTTGATGAATTTATAAACAAAGGCCTTTGTTGAACTGTTAATTCGACTTGGGTAGAAGCTGAAAATACGGTACATAAAATTGTCATACATTGACGTTACATGCATTTAAAAAGTATACATACATTTTATAAGTTCAACCACTTCTGTGTGTGTAGAGTGTGTCACATTAACACCGTTCACTTTAATAATTTTATCACCACTATGTAAGCCTGCTTTTTCTGCAGCTCCACTTTGTTTGACAGATTGCACAAATACCGGATTATCTCCAGACACTTTCATGCCATATCCTCTTTCATCTTTAACTACTATAACAGTTAACGTAGTTGTAGAGGGTAAATTTGGACTATCTAGAGCCTCAGCAATCAAGGGTTGAGGAAGTAAATGTTCAGATGGCCTGTAAAATATAGAATACACTATTTGAATGAATGAATTTGAATTTGGAAATTTTTTTATTACTACTTAAATAATATAAATTTATATACGACAAAAATATAACAAAAAATGTTTAGTCAATAGATGACTATTTACTTACAATTATTATTTATTTTGACATTAACTTGAAATAATATCATATTTATTCTCTATAGAATTGATTTATTTAAATTTAATTAATTTGAAAATACAAAATTATTATACAGTTTGGTATAATATTTAAAGAAATAATACAGTATATAAAAGTTTAATTTTATAAATCTATTAAATTTTTAAGAAAACATATTAAGCAAATACTTATATAGGTTGGAGGTACATTATATATATATAATTTAAATATTCATATTCAATCAAATTAATAATAAAGTCTAATTAAAATCTATAAAAGATTCTATAAAATATTTTTTTTTATAAGTTACTAAATTATTTATGATGAAAACATATGAAACAGAGCACAAAATAATTAATTTATCATGTTTATGTAATGTTAAATGAATGCTTAAAAATGATACCATCTTGGTAGGACCTATGTATTTACTTTAACAAAATATAACAATTATTATTAAAAAACCCATACGTATTGAGAAAATAATACTCAATAGTAGTAATATTGTAGAAGATTAATTGTAATCAATGTTTACTTATTAAATAACTTTTATATAAACATTTACTTATACATTTTTAGATACCTAATTAATTTAGCATGATAATTAGGACTGAAGGTCAGTTAAGACTTACAAACGTACAATAGTTAGTTATACTAATTTGAATTCTTATTGCCAACTTATTATTTCTATATTAATTTCATAGTAAATTTTAATTTTTTCTAACTTAAACATTATAGTAATAATTTATTTTTCTAATTTCCAAAATCCAAATGAATACCATTAAACCTAACACACATGTATAAACATTTAACATTTAGAAAACAAAATTTTTTTTGAATTTCTCAGATTTCAAATGTTTAATATTCTACTAGATATATATTTTAAAAAAATATAAAAATACACTATTAAATATAATAACTATTAATATTTAATTATCTAATACTTAAATATACCACATGATGGATCTACAAATGTATTGAAATTAAGTAAATACAATTATAGGAAAAATATTACACATGCACATGCATCTGTCCAAACTCCAAAGGCTACTACGAGTAAGTAGGGACATAAGTAGGGTAATAAAAAACAATTGTAAAACATTACCATTCATGACTTTTTTTAGCCAGAGTCCATCTAAATGCATTGATATAACCTACATAACATTTTTAAAATTAATATTGTTATTACTTAGTATGAAGTTTATCAAATGTAAGTCATCAAATGGACATTTTACCAAACATTTTTTCAATTCCTAACATATAGGGATATATTGATATATATTAAAGGTCTACCATTTTTAACTAACATAGGTAACATAGGTAACCTATTTATAACAATATGATAAAACTAACTCAACAAATATATGTTATAGCTCATGACCCGGGCTCAGGACTTAAGCATTTGCTTATTTTTATGGTATGACATGAAATCTAGCAGAGTGCTTTTTTTCAACATTTTTATTAAAAAAAATGCTTATTTCCAGATTTTTCTGATTATTTTTGCTTTTGAGCATAATCTCTGTTGACATAAACGTGCTAGTCTGGATATATATATATATTAATGTGCCACTGACAAAAACATAGTCATTTTAGTTAATTTATGTTTTTTTTCACGGTAAACCCAGAACTCAAAAATAATATTTCTTCTTTGTATCATATTTCCTAGTAATAAATAAATACTGAAACTCGCATTTGCTTGCTTATCTACTAATCGGCCAAATAAATCAATTTTTTTTGTTCATTGGAAACATTTTCTTCAGAAAATATATATTTAAGTAAGAAATATAATTAAGAAGTTAAAATGTTTTCAATAACTCTAAAAGGCTAAGTTTTATTTTTTTTCAAGTTTCTAAGTACAAAAACTAAACCATAATATAAAGAAAAATTGTGTTGATAGTTTTTGTCATGTTTTTTTTAGCTTACTTTGATGATTACAAGTACTACCTGTAAGTCTCAAACCCTGCTCATGACATGTTTGTATTATTGGTTTTAATTTAGAGACATTGAAATAAGTAATACAATTCAAAATAGGTACCAAATCATTATATTTATTTATCGAAATTTCTAATATATTTCAAAAAATGAGCAGCTACGGGAGCAGCTATAAGTATCAGTTTTGGAAATCAAATAAAAATGTTCTTTTATCAAAAGAAGATGTATTGCAATAATCTTGTAAATAATTTTAAAAAATTATAAATATTTGTGGTTTTTAAAAATAATACATTGATTATAATTGGATAAGTTTACAGGTACTAATTATACATATAATATTGTGTTTGACAAAAAGTCTAGTAGTAAAAAAAAAGTAAAAAAAGTAGAAAAACAGACAAAATTTGCATTTGATAAAAATGAAGTACAGTGGAACCTCGATAAGTAGAAATTCTATTTTACATTTTTGACATATCAAGGTTTTAAGAAAAATATTTTACTTAAAGAGTTTTTAAAGTGTATGTATGTATTATAGTCTTTAATTATTATAACATATAAACGTATAATTACATTATGCATTGTTATTGTTATTTCAAAATTTTTACTAAAAACATATGACAAAAATAAATAGTTAATTTATTGGTATAAATAAAAAAAAACAATTGTAGTGACAACAAGATAAATGAAAAATACAATAAAAGCGATCAGATGAAATTATTGGGGTCCACAAGCAGATTAGACAAATGATTATAAAAATTAACCGTAATTATCCATCTATATTTGGAACACAGAATGTTGGTGATAACTATAGTTTTTCTCTTGAGTAATCAGGGATTTTGCAAAGGGAACAGCATTTATTTCGACTTATCTTGATAAGTTCCACTGTACTTAATAGAATTAATACACATTTTTTTTGCTTTTGCAGTCATTTCTTTGAATATATACGGATTTTATAGGAGTAAAAATTAAATCAAACACAGAATTCACAGGAAAGTTTATTTTGTATACTTGGGATTATTAAAGAGAAATTGGGGAATATTTTGTAAATTGAGGGAAATAAATATTATTATTACTATTATTATTTTAGGTGCCTATATATCTAATATGTATTTTTTTATTCAATAGTTTCCTAACACAATTAAAGTAGTTTGATATAATAGAACATTTAGGTTCCATATAATTTAATCATCAAAGTAATGTTGTTATGCTTATTTATACATACTTTTTGACGAGCAATTCGTTTAAATACATTTTTTTTTTTAAAAGGCATACCTCCCTATGCCTTTTTATTGCCATAAAAATGGTTTTACCACCCATGTTTTTTCTTTGTTTTATATACACTTAATTAAGATATAATAGTAAGTCATCTCTAAGAATCAGACTTAAATAAACCATCCTCTAAAATGTAGTATTTTCAATTTTTCATTCCTAATTTGCTACCTGAGTAGTAGCTGTACATTCTTAATTTGCTCCTCAAGGGGTAAAAGAAAATTTGGATGTTTATTGACTAATTTTAAACTGAAGACATATTTTTCCTGTTTTTAAGAGCATATTAGACTTTTTTAAGAATATAGTTCTAAACTAATATGGTTGGTTTACTGATTATTTAATTTCAGTTTTTGTGTTTGATAATAATTTTCTTCAAACTAATATTTATAGTACAAACTATTACTGTTATAAAATGCTACAAACTTTAAAGTTAAGTAATGGCATCATTTGTTTGATTCAAATTAAAATTTCAAAAATAAAAGTTTTTGTATAAGGAATCAGTTTAATCAATCTCCAATAATTTTTGAATCTTTAAATATAAATATATTTTTGATTTTATTAATGTAAAGAATTCAGATGTGAAGTGTGTTTTAAATGTATAGGTATTTAGATTTAAAAGTTCGTAAAATACTGATTTATATATTGAACAAAATATGTTTAAAATCTGTAATTATTTTAAATTACCTAATAATCCTTAAAAAGCCCTGAGACACTACAGAACTGTAAACCAGTGATGCTTAACTTTTTTTCATCAGCGAGCCACTTTGATACACAATCAACTTCTAGCAGGCTACCTAATATAAATCAATCTCAATAATAAATCTCAATTTTAAACTAATAATATAATTTTGTCCATATAGTAGGTGATTAGGTATAATTCTAATTTAATTTTGTCCAGTCCAATAATTTCAGATGTTTAGGTTTGAGAATGTTTGTACAACTTCAACTTTTCAACTTTTATAGTAGTAAAAATGCTCTAATCATAGACTTTAATGGAGGGTTTTGGAAGCATTGAAAACTTTTGGGAGGTTTAAATTGAAAATTCTCAGTCATTTTTAAAACAATAATGAAAAACAAAAATAAACAAATGAAAATTTGACTGTCATATAGTATGCGGTCTACCGGCCAACGCGTTTTACTGGCTGCTATCGGATGAGGTGTATCAGCTTTTACACAGGCGGAACTTCATCTTTAATAAATACATACAGTTTAATATTTTTCTTCAGTGAACACTTTATTATTATGGAATTATACTTTATAACTTTTGATAACAATACTTCAACATTTTGTAAAAGTGTGGGCTCAAAAGCTCAGTATGTCACTTATTGCGCGACACTACAATTTATACGCACTCATACAATCAATATATTTGGAAAAGATTTTTATTTAATTATAAGTAGTGACGAATCAACCACAAATTTTTTATTTAGCAAAAAGGTTTTGGAAAATAATGAAAATGCTGAATGTTTTAAGTGTGGAAATGCTATGAAATTATACCTACATAGGAAGGGTAAGGAAAGGAGAATTTTACGTTGTAAGGGAAAGGGATGTCAAACAATATAAAGCTTAAGGTGAGAAAATTATATTCTTATATTCTTTTAGCTTATTTTATCATAATTGTATACAATATTATAGGAAGGATAAAGCTTCTCGGATTTATAATGATAAAAATGGTCGTCTAAATAATGGACTAAGCCTCAATCAACAGTTAGAACTGGTGTACTGTTGGACTCAAGATTTATCCAATAAAGCTATTATGACATTAAATGGGAGTTCGTCCAACACATATGTGACTGGATGAATTTGTGTCAGGATATACCAGCAAAAATATTTGAAAAACTTACTAAATTTGGAGGACCTGATATTATTATACAAGTTGATGAATGTTTGTTAAGAGTATCCAGAAAAAATCATATAGGTGATTTATATTTTATAATTGAATACATAATGAAATACAATTTTCTATTGAATATTAATTATTAAATAATATAAATCATGTTGATACAGGTTGATATAGACTAGCATATTTGCCAAGTGAGAACATCGAAGACAAAAATGACAATCCTCTTGACAATAGAAAAAAAATATTATGGTAGACGAAAGCATGATCCCGGGTGTTTGAATTATGTGACAATACTGAGGGTATGAGATTTTGTTGTCGAAAAGCAGGACAAGCAAACTTCGCATGAAATTATTAGAAAACAAATTGTATTCGGTTCTATTTATTATACACTCTGATGGGTGGCTAGCATATAATGGGATCGCTTTATATGGTTATACACATAATACACTTAACCACAGTGAACATTTTGATGATCTACTTACCCAAATGCACACTCAACAGATAAAAAGTTTATGGAGATAATTACATTCAAAAGTAGTTAAAAATATGTGTGAAACAAGTCCTGACCTCCTTCCAAGGTAAAATTATCATATGTTATCTATAATTTAACGTAATACATAAGATGCAATTATACATATTGCAGGTACCTCATGGAAACATGGAGATGAAGAATAAATAAATCTGATCTATTAATGCATTTTTGAGAGAAATGGCGGAATTGTTGTTACATCAAACATAATATTCATCATTCTTGACAAACGATATATTCATTTTTTTAAATTATTTAAAATAATGATATAATATAAAGGGTAATATAATATTATGTTATCAATTTAATTCTTTTATTTGCGGTAGACCGCATACTATAATTATAAATCGCAGGTAGACTGCATACTATACTCATAAATTCACCAGCAGACCGCATACTACATGACAGCTAAAAATTTGTTAAAATTGTTTGGTAACCTTGGTTAGACCGCCTTCACTTGAATTTTAATTGATACGTTTTAGATTTTCCTAAAAATGTCAATAAAATATTACTTGTTTGTCAAAAAGTTTAAAAGTGCAATAAAAGGTTTCTCATAAGTTTTTAATAGGTATAGCTCTTTAAAAATATTAACGACACATATAATCGATTATTTTATATAAGCATTTAAAGTTCAAATTTTGACAAAACCACAATTTAACTGTAGTTAAAAATGTAAAAAATATTACATTTGTACAGCTAAGGCTTAAAAAAATTTAATACACAGGCTTTCATACAAGTAATTAATACTTTAACCAAAAAATTGATGATCACTTAAGAAAAATGATATTCAAATACAATATTTTTGCGAAAATGAATTCAACCTACCTACCTATATATATTATTAGTTATTGGCTATATCTAATCCAATCCGGTAAGGAGTATATGAATTTACGTCATAGCTTACTAGTTGACAATAGTTGAAACTTGATGAATATTTTTTTTAAAAGTAATAATAATATGGCAATGTGGGGGGGGGATAGCTTGTTAGCAGTCCCCATGAGTATGACACTGATCCCACTCAATAGCCACATGAAAAAGACCCCATAATTTAAAGTCAATCCAATTTAGATTAATAGCAAATGTATTCATCCTCTTTTAATTAATAATGATAATATACATCTATTTTACATAATATTTAAAAGCAACGAATAAGCAATTGGTATAATAACTAAGTTATTATAATTTAAAATTTTGGTTTGGACTGAACCAATTGAGTTAAACCTCATAAACATTTTTTTCAATCCAAAACCGTTATTAATATATACTAATATATAATATTTTTAATGTGTAAAAAGTAATTGTAATAACAATGTAGGTACCTATAATGTATTATAAAGTAAAAAAAAACTTATTAAGTAAAATAAATTACAATACATAAACCATAACCATATAATAATAAATAATTAGATGGAATAATCCTAAAAATAAAACTCATCTGATGAAATTCCTTAACTACCTATATAAGCAGTAGTTCTATAATAGTTTAACAATATACCGTCTACCTTCAATGTTTTAAATATTTATTAGGGAGTTTTTTTATATTACCTACACAATTAGAATAGTATATTATTTAATCATATCCATATGTTCTTTTTTTCGACCCAATTTTAGAATAATTTATTAAAACGAAAATAAGAGATCACAAATTTTTGTAAAGATTACATGCCCAACCACAAGATTAATAAGTAATTATTACCTAATATTTTTAGTTACACTTCCGCCAATTAATTTAAGTAGGTATTTAATATAGCTATTTAAATGTCAAATAAATTAATCTTAAGTGGATATAGTTTCCCTAGTTTTGAATATGAAAATAGTAGCAGATACAGAATATTTAAGCATAATTTAAAAATCAAGATCACATGATAAACATAGGTGTATGTTAGATGTACCTAAGTACTTAGATAAAAGTAGGGAGAAAAATATTGATGATATTTAATTTTCAAATAAACTTTAGTTAGGTAGGTATTCAACGGCTCTTAAGACATAAATATGTATCGTATAAAAATAAATAATTATTAGTTATCTGTTACTCAAAACTAAACATTAATTTGACGCCAATAGTCTGGTAGCCAGAAACTTAATGTGATGAATTCTAAGTTATTTTTAGAAAATAACAAATGGATTCAATTGTTTACGTACAATGTAAACTTTGCATTTTTTTTTTCAGCAAATCTCATTTGTAGCCCAAGTTGTTTACCATATTCCATAAGTGCCCTAAATTATAAGTTATTGGTACAGAATTGTTCACCTTTGAAAAATTATAAAATATTGTAAGTAGATATTCTGAATACATTAGGTATTCCACTACCTTCATAAAAATGTACTTATTTTTTGCATGTTATAAAACATTTTTTAAATATTTGTCCTAGATAATTATGTTATATACATGATATATATATAATTAATCATCCATTATTATTTTGTAAATTCATTTTATGCTTAAATATTTTTTTAGTAACTATAATTCTTTGAATAACATAAGATGAATAGTATACAACAATCATACAAAAGTTAAACCCCAAGTTAAATACTACTTAATTTAATTAAGTATTTATAAATTATAATGGATACCTACATCTGAGCCTATATCTTTCAATTTTTATATTCAATTTTAATTTTCAATCACATATTATAATGGATAGGTATACCGTCTCAAAAGAGAACAATTACATTTTGCACATTGTTAATGATGGAATTGGTGTGTAAGGAACCACATGATCACGCTAACACTGGGCAGTTGGAGGGAGATGTGCAGCACTGATGTAAAGCGGTCAGCCAACTGATTATTCTTTTTTGAGTCTGAGTACAGAACAATCAATTTGCAAAAATGAAATTTGATAAAGTAAAAGCACTAGATTCTATATTATTTATTATTACCATGAAAAAATTAAAAGAAGTGAATCATAAATAAGGCCCAAGTGCAGGTAAAGACGAGAGTAAATATTAAGAAACATTAGCAAGATGATTAGGAACACAATATAGCATACATTTATTGAAAACAGTTGTTATTTTACATTATATTTTAATATCAACGATAGTTACTATAGGTAAACCTATTGATAGCTTTTATATAGATGTCTATTTAAATACTCTTCTGTTTATACTCTGAAAATGTAGATACCTCCTTATACTTAGCTTAAATAAATATTTGAATACTATTATTTTTTGGTTAACTATCTATTGGAAACTGGAAAAATAATATGAGAATAGTCATAAATAGATATAAATTAATATTTTGAACTTGTTCCTACTGTCCGAAATACCTACCTAATGTAATTAGATTGGTACCTACCTAAATTAAATTGATTGTTATCACGGCAAGGTTATCATTATACTTGTTCTACTTTAGGGGCTTATTTAATTAAAAATAATTATTACCTATGTTGATCTTTATCAAAATGTTAAACAAGGGCCATAAAATGTAGAAATACTGTCAAAAAGAATGTATGTACCTAGTTGAAATTAATAAAGGTGGTATCCTAGGTGGTTTTACCCAAATCATTTTTCATAATCACGGAAGATAATATTTGGGAACAAAAACAAAACGCAAGAATACGTGTGAACTCTTGATTGAAATCCATGCGTTCCAAATAAATAAAAACAGTATTTTAGTTTTAATTTGATCATCTCAAAATTAAAATTTAAAAAAAAGTAAATAAACAGAGGAGTACCTATAATATTAACACTGCAATACTGCGAAAGTGACACTTGTTAATATGTAAACAGGATGTGCTGTGAAATATATGATGAAAGAAAGCCAAACAGATAAGCAGATAGTTTTATCCCGATTTTATTATGTCGACCTTGAAAACCAAGGAACACAAGTGGACAACTGGCCGGTGCTCATCATAGACAACTGAACTCGGACAGTGGGCAAATTTTTAAGGTCGAGGCACCAGTGCGCCCTAGCAAAGGGGTGAAAAAGAACAAAACGCGACGGCGAGCAGAAGACGTCATCGGACGACTCGCTGTTTGAGGCTAAGGCCGTCGTCAAGTGGACGACGACGAAAACGGCAGTGACATTATAGATAACGGCAATAACGCCGAACAAAACGACAACACAACATAATAATACATTTTATATTATACGACGGAGACGGTGACGGCACATACCTTTCGTTAGACGTGTGGACCGCCGCAGCCGAATGGTCCATGGCGGCTGTTCAAGACGACGGTGCACCCTCGAGGTGGTGGTGGCCAAGTGATATGGCGGCTACGACGACGGCGGCGGCGACGATCGGCCGGCGGATCATGTCGATCATGACGTCTACATGTCGACCGTCTTCGCATCGGTGTCTCGACGTAGTCTGTTGCTGTGTTCGCGGGCCACTACTGCATCCGGCGGAAAAGCGGGCAGCGCGATTATTTTGGCATCCGGTCCGTGAATGTGTACGAGAGTGACTGTACGAGTGTGTGTGCGCGCGCGCGCTCGCGTGTGTGTGTACTTGCCAGTTGCCAGTTACGTTCCCGTGTGTGTGCACTGTGCGTGTGTGAGTGTGTGAAGCGAGCGACTGTGTGTGTGTGACGCGTGCGAGCGAGATGCTCACGAAACGCGCGACGGACGACGTCGAATCCGCTTCGTTAGGGTCGGTGCAGGGAGAGGTGGTGGTCGGGGTAAACGCGTCCAGAAAGAAAATCGGGGAAAAAAATCAAATCAACAAGTAACCGTCTGGCGCGCGCAACACACACACACGACCGATTATTATTATTATTATTATTATTATTATCGGTCCTGTCTATTATCACCGAGTCCGAGGACGGACGTAAACAACAACAAGATCGACGACGACGGCGGTGATTTCGCCGACGAGAATTGATTTTATTGTCGACGACGTGTCCGAGGACCGTATCGCACCACAGGGAATTTATTCGCGATTTTATCGAGAGGCGAAAAAACGATGTGAAAAGTTATAAAACGTTCGTACGAGGTGAGCGTCGTCGTCATACACGGCCGCCGCTCGTGCCCGCTTGTGGCTTGTGCTGTCGCTGTTGCGCGCCGGGGATGGAACGTGCCCAAACACAGCGGACGACGGCGGTTGCGGCCGAACACTGCGCCGACGGCCGATCCCCACCACGGCAGCCGTCGACGGCTACGACAACGGTGCGAGTACGCCACTACGGCGTCGGCGGTGACGATGGTGCGGGGCGCGGGGCACCGGCCACTACTCCGTAAACCTACATAATATTCACCGCCGCCGTCACCGTTTGCGTATGTATGTGTGTCTATGTGTTGCGTGTGCGCGCGTGTGTTTGTGTGATACGACGTCGCCCGCCGCGCAATTATAATTTATCGTCGTCGTCGTCGTCGTCGTCGTCGTCGCCACCGCCGCACCAGCACCGGCACCGACCGTCGTGTCCGCACCACCTGCGGACCTGACCGTCGTCGTTGCTGCTCCGGCGACGACGTATCGGGCGCTGGCGTGCGTTTGTGTGTGTGTATGCGCGCGCGCGCACAACAATAATAACAATATTATTATTATTGTGATGATTGGGAAATATTTTACGCGGGTTTTTTCTCGTATCGTTTGTTCAATTGTTCGTGACTCGGGTTCGTTCGGTATTGTCGACGAAATTAAAACAAAATATTATTATTTTGTGTAGCCACATATTTACGTACATCATATTATTATTATTATTACTATTAATTCGTATACACGCAACGCGCTCGAAGCCGTGTGTATAATATACAATAACGTGGGCACCACCTGCTGGCTGGGTGCAGCGTAGTTGGCCGGCACACGGGCACACTGGTAATCAGCGAGGCAGCTGCGGCTGGCAATGCCGCTGATAACGCGTGCGGTTGTATGAAACAAAAAAACAAAACGCGCGACGAATCACTATTATGATTATTCGTATTTCGTTGAAGATAAAAATAAGATTTCTGGTTTAATCGAAAACCGCGTCGCACGGTTAATGTATTTGCGCTCATCTGGACTCAAGGAGATTCTGTAATATTTCCACCGTTAGTTGCGGTCATTGTCAGTCTATATTTTCTAAGCATTTATTTTTATGATAATATAAATTTAATAACATTCGTAATTTATTATTCCATCATACACTAAAACAGTAATACATTAGGTTAGGGTAAATAATCTTAATTATTATTATATTTGCCCATTCACCTCAACAGTCACCATAAGCTTTACGGAGTAATATAATAATATAGCAAAATTAAAAATATTAATAATTTCATTTTCTATAATATAAGCTCATAAAATTCATTAATTATATGTCAACTTTTGTTATTTGCTGTAAACTTATTATAAGCCAATGTCCTATGTTTTTAAGTAGACACGGTAAGAACAACTTTTGAGGAACTATCAATATTGTAATATATTTTGAAGCTGTTTGAATCAACGTAATCGAAAAAAATTACAAAAATTTTAATTTTAATAGGTCCACTAAGAAAAATGTGTATAGAAAATTCTTATATCGATATTAATTAGTTCCAAATTAAAGTCTCTAGGCTTATTTCTTTTTTAATTATAACAAAATCATTTAAATCGGGTTTTCATAAACTCAAGGTTATTACACATATTCTAGTTTTTATTTTTATTGAGTTTTTCTCGAATGTTTTGAAATCAACATACATGATGTATTTAATCCCTTAAAAAAGCCAACTAAATCAGCTGCCTATTTTATTAATTTGGTGTAATCTAAACTGTACAGTGTAGTAGTGTACACTGCACAAAAATTCACGACTCCAAACTTCGTCACAAACCTCGATAAATGTACTTAAATTTAATCACTAATGTATTGCTAAGCCAGTTAAGCTCACAATATTTATTAAAATAGACTATAGGTAGCGAGGTAGGTATATCATTCAGTTAAGTTACTAGGTTAATATAATAAATTAATTAACTGTGTAAATGTAAACATTTCAAGCAGCTTTAAATCGTAAATGTCGTTAGTAAAATATGAATATCTACAAATCAATTTTTGTATTTTAAAAAGGTAACATCATAATAACTACCAAAGTACACATTATAACCTATGTCCTGTGGTACTGTTTATCTAATCACTTAATTCCCTTTTATAACTATCATTAGGCATTACAATTGAAATATCAGAAAAGTGTCAGCGAAAAACCTGCTATCCTGTTACTTACATACTTTCATACTTTAGAAAAATAGGTAGATACCTATGTGTCCTTCCATTTTTTAGACTGAAGGAGAATAAAAATATTGTGATCACCCTAGTTCAGAGGTCACCAATTAATACTTTCCGTGGGCCACATTAAAAATTCTGAAAATTCTAGCTGGCCATAAAAATGCAAAGTACATAATATTTATAATAATATGCCGATTGGCCAAAACTAATGTTCAAAGATATGAAATCATCGGCTTATTTTCTCCTTGTCTGCGGGCCGGTTAAAATTCATCCACTGGCCGCCATTTGGTGATCATCCCTACTCTATTTCCTTGTACCTATATAAGTATATAGTGATTATTATCACTGTATAGTACCTATATGACGATTTAATTTTAAGACGATTTCAAGACGGATCATATACATGATAATATTATAATATATAGTTTCTTAGGTATAAAGTTTATATATTGAATGCGTAAACGTAAGAACTACAGCGATATTAAAAAACCTTTTCACGTTTTAAAAACTTATTTACTCACTCTCAAATTTAATAGGTACTTTGACGTCTCTATATATACACTTTATGTTTTGTCTTGAAATTAGAAAGTGAGTGTATGATTTAAAATTAAAAATTAGAAATTCCTTAAATTGTAAATACTCAATGGTTTTTATTTCACTAATAATATGAAAAATATGTTATTATAACATATGGTCAATAACTAATGATACAGGTAGGTGTGTCTTTAATTGGCTATTTATATAAAAATCTGTATCGTAACTTAATATTAAATTCGCTATATTTTTTTTTTATTTTATTCTGTATCTGTTTTATCAGTTTTGATGTTTTGTACCTATTGGCATTCATTAGAGACGATGAATACGGAAGGTAGTCCTGAAATCGCGTGACTTGAACTCGAAACCAACTTTTATTGTCCATTCCAATTAGATTATTTTTTATGTACAAAAAAACTATAATAATATTATGTTATTCATTTTTGATTGACGTGTGAACGATTAACAAAAAAAAAAAAAAACACGTAAATAGATCGTCTATTGATAAACATTTTAGATATAGCTATACTTATAAATTATAATAGGTAGGTAATATAAAAGTCTGTACTTATTCAATTATTGTATTTGTATCTATCAGGCGCAGATCTAGAACGTATTTACGGGGGGGGGGGGCATCTTAAATAAAATTTCAGCTTATAAGTCTGATAAAAATGCAAGTAATGCAAGTCCATTTAAGCGTGAGTTTACGGGGGGGGCATGGCCCCTTGGCACCCCCCTTGGATCCGCGCCTGGTATCTATAGTCTTTCAATCTCGGTATTACGTTATATACTTATATGTATGTAAGGTTTCAATGAGTCAAAACGTTAAAACGTACTTGGAACACTGTCGAGACATCGTGTAGATGTGTGATACGGAGAGGGTATCCCTACTTAAGATATTATCCCTCTAACCAGGAAAATCAAAATCATTTTCCGTCACATACCTAGATAAAAATCGAAGCACATTTAAGTATAGTATCGACTCCCTCGTATAGTATGATTGTATGATCTATATTCTTTGCAAATATTAATTTGTAATTTGTAATGCATGTAAAAAATATCTTTGGGCTAATTCAATAGTTTATCTATATTATTATATTAAAATAATATAATTGTTAGTATAGGTACACTCATTGGTGTAGCCAGGATTATGAAAGGGGGTTCAAGTTTAATTTAAACTGAGTGTTTTTCATATTTCGTATATAATATTAATATAAATAGGGAGGAAGATAAAAGAAGGGGGGTTAAACACCCCTGGCTATGTCACTGCAGGGTACCTTTAGTTATATAACTGTTAATGCATGTTTTACACAAGCAGATATATTATAATTGGTACCTACCTACATTGAATAATAGGTTATTTGAATTGTTGGGGGAATTTTACAAACGATTGATTACTCTTTACTTATGTGTCTATTATACAAAAGCTCAAATTGAATGAAAACTCTCTATAATGTTATGATAAAGGAACTAAAAAAATGCGATGAACCATCACAACTCATCGAAAACAAAACATAAATTATAAGATATCTGAAGTTATATACCTTATTAGTCTTTACATACATGTACATATTTTTATTTTAGTGAAATACGGAGTTCCTTATCTGTAAATTAATTCACAATATTTTCTGAGGCTATATTATTGTATGCGTCATCTTTTTCGATATGTATTAGAGACAAAGCAGAAATACAAGGCTAAAGCTGATCCATACTTAGGTTTCATGATACCAAAAGAATGTTCAAATGTATTGCTGCTACGTAGGGTTAACAATTTGAAAATATTTTGGATACATCATAATTCATCGTAAATTTGTATTTACAATGGTATATTAAATAATATTTTATTAAATCAGTTATCAGAAATACAGTGTTATTAAACCAACATTTTATATTTTGATAATTATTATTGTGTTTATTACCTTCGTTATTACTATTACTATGAATAATATAGTACTTATCTGATATAAGAACTTAATTTGGGGGAATATAGTCTATAAGTTACCCCAAGCCTTCTTAATTACGCCATTGATAATAATCATTAATTGGTGGTTGGTGTTGCCAACTCTTCAAATTGCTCGTAGAACATAGCACTTGTTTATATTTAAATAATACAGTGGTATAATATAGTATGTTTACCGGGCGGCATTTTTCTCCGGACAAGTCGCGGTGACCGGAGAACAAGTGCTGCCATCTCCCACCCCCGGGGCATGGCAGAAACCTACGGGTGCCCCATTCGAAATTCTGCCAAAAAACAAACACACACGTGTTCCCCCCTACCGTTCCAAAAAATATACAATACAAACTACAATACAAATCCTACTACAGCTAATGGCCTCAGTTGCCGAAGCTTAAGCTCAATAAAAAAAAAAAAAATATAGTATGTATATAT